TAGTAAATACAAACAGAGATATATTTTAATCAATATATATATATATATATATATATATATATATATATATATATATATATTTCATATTACTAATCTTTCATAATAAAATATACATGTCAAAGTTGCATATGGTAATATTTCTGTATAAAACTGTTACTTATACAAGTAAAACTTATGCTTACTTCTTGATAATTGTGTATTGGCCTATTGGCAGTATCTTTATCATGGTTTTCTTTTTTTGAAACTATCTGGTAATATGTCTTGAGCAAACATGTGGCAGACGCATTCTTTATAATTGTTGTTTAAAAATGTATTTTCACTGAGGTAGGATACGTTAAATATTACAAAAATATGGAGAACAGAATAATGTGTGCTTTTACACCAAAAGGATGGTGTTGCATTTAACTGAAATAGATATTCTATATATTAAAATGTCGTTGCTCGAGACGCTCTCGTTAGCTAGGGTAACTTAAATATTTTTCTATCGAGCATCGTTGAATATTCGTAATACAAAGTCTGGTAAAGGTTCTAGAAAAAGAATGTATAATTTGTACTCGCAATAAATACCTCCCAGCGGAAAAAATTGATCCATGCCACTGGGAAAAAACAAGAATCATTCATCCTAGTCTTACTCATTCTTTTGTTCGTAAAAGAAAGTATAATTTCGGATATTTAATTGTCCTAGCTAATCCCAACTTTCATCATACAAAGGGGTACCATCTCCGCTTAGGGACATACTCTGGGGACTAGAGTTTGTAAATGGAGTTCCTCTAGGAGATTTATATGACGGTGTCCGTCCTGACGGTGTTCTGTTCCTTGGAGTTGATCTATCGTTTTGGAGTTCTTGAGTCCGTGGCGTTTTCTTAGTATCGTCGTATCTTGAAATAATATTTCTAAAACAAAAAATGTAATGTTAGATATAACAATATCTAGAGACACTTTAACAATAAAAGATCCAAGGATTTATAATTATCGTTCTACTTACGGTTCTTTGGAAGTAGTTTGTTTTGCGCGCGCCCAAGCTTCAGCGGCTTCGGACCAATTAGTTTCTTCATACGCATCAGAACTGGGTCTCTGAGACTTTGCTGGCCTATGAGGATTAGTGTTCGTTGCAGGAGGAATTGGTTGCAAAAATGAAGCTTTAGCATTGTTCGGTGTCTGAGGATGGTGAGGCGTATGATGCGGAGTATGATATGGAGTCATGAATGGTGTCTGACCCGAAGGTGTATATGGTGTGAACATTCCATAGTTATTCACGCTTGCGGCTCCTGGAGTATGCGGTGGATAATGTGGAGTTTGACTGGCCACTTTTGAGAGATTATGCAGCATATGATGTGGCATGGTTTGTGCAACTCTCTGCACTGCATCCGCATTTACTCCTGAAAAAATAATTTTATTAGAATGCAAAGATAGTACGACGTTTTAATTGAATGAAAGTTATAATTTACCACTAATTGCTGGAGTACTAGTGTACGGGGTTCTAGAAGTCGTAGCTCCATGCGGTGTACCAGGTGTAACTTGACCTGGTATAGGATCCCTGAAATGTTCCTTGAACCACCTGAACAAGTCATTAATTCTGCTGAATGTGTGACCTCGAAATTTAAATCCATCAGGCGTTATAGAAACGTATTCGTGACGACAACGAGTACGTGGAAGGTATGAAAGCAAAAATTTTCCAGGATAATTCTGAAATGAATAAAAATTAATCAAGTATGTGTAGAATTTCAGAAACATTATTGATTAATTTAGAGCTAATTTTACCTTCGCTGCGGATACAATGTACGGTATTCCACCAGGGTTTTGCTTTTTCTGCTCTTTTATCATTTCCTCGGCCTTATCCTTGATGCCTTCTAATGCTGGTTTGAAGTACTTAAAATCTAAGAGTTCAGAAGCATATGCTGCCATCGGATTCACATGTCTTGCAATAATTTCATCTAAATCCTCAAACTCTTCGTTCCCGATCCACAGACTACGACCTAAAGAGAATGTATTCTCTTTGCCCTCTTCCCTCACATCGATGTGCTGATAAATCTTTTCTGTAACTTTCCACGTTACTGTCAAGTGGTCAGATCCTTTGCTACTTGGTCGTATTATTGTTTCTCCCTGTTTCATTGATTGCATCAACTTCTCAGCCTCTGCAAAGCTTACATTATGGAAACTAGGATGAATTATAACGCGTTTCACATAAGTTTGCCTCTGTTGCGCTTTCTTAGCATCGTCTTCAACCTTCCTATCTCTTTCTTCTGCCTCTGTGTCATAGTAAACATCTTTCTGAGGTCTAAAAAAAATTTGCATGATTTATCATTCATGTAAATTATCGAATCTGAAAAGAAAACTATTATTTGATACGTTACCTCCAATCACGATTTTTATCCGCGAGGTCGCTAGTTTTACTTGTACATTCCACGCCAAATCGCTCCACCTCAATTTTAATTATGCGACAATGTATCACTTGACCAACGTGTACCCTCTCTTCTGGATTATTAACATGCTTGTCAGACAAATTCTTTATGTGAATATAACCGGATATACCATTATCCAATCTCAAACGCACACCAGTTGCTTTTCCAGGGCAAGCACCTGCATCAAAGTGATTCCACACCTCAGAAAGTTCTGGGAAGTCATTTTTCAAACAGAATGGACACTGCCATAGGCCAGTCTCATCGTTTCTAACCGGATTCGCCTGGTCCAGTTGATCACCTTGCGGTTTTCTATGACTTATTCCAACCACCGTCGCCAAAATTAATTTACCAACGAAAAATGTTTCAGGGGTTTCTTTGGTCAAGATATCAAACAACTTTTCTGCATTCGGAGTCTGATAAGGTACTCGAAGGTCTTTGTACCTAGAATTCAGTTCGGACCTTATGTCGTAAAGAGTTACGCATTTGTTCCCAAAGCCCTGTCTTTCCAGTTCCTCAGCAAACGCGTCTAAATCTAGATCCTTTAATCTTTCTGGCGATTCAAGGATTTCCTCCAAGGCACCAGCAGGATTCGCATCTTCATCGTCGTACTCTAAAGCATCTACTGCCATTTTTCTAGCCCATTCGTATGTCTCTGGATGCACACGGGAACCATCCAATACTTCTACGTATGCCTCTGTACTGTCCCCTAAACTATTTGTATCTATCTTAATAAAACCAGCACAGTTAACGAATACTTTAGGACCCATGTGACAGGCTGTTATAAGTTGTGTCCTGTTCTCCAATCTCTGATTAGTTTGCTTTAGAATCTTTATCAGAGACTGACTTTTCCTTGCCCCTAGACCACATACAAATTGTACTAAGTTCGCGGTGTAAGGCTGTTGAACTGCTCTGTTTAAATCTACACCCACTTCATTCACGCAATTTATAAACTCTAGATATAAATTCTCTATGAGATCCTCTTTAGGTAGTTGATCTTGCAAAGGATGATATTTAAGGCACAATATTTCTTCATCTATAGTACATAATTGTGAGAACTCTAACAATGGATCTTGTAGTCTTCTAGCCAATGATATGGCTTGCCTCAGCAGATCTGGATAATCTCTGAATTCTGCAACGCCTCGGTTACTGTTTGAATAAACAGTACTTAATTCACTATCACATATCTCTACCTGGATCGGAGGAAACTGCTCATCTATCATTAGATTACTGATACATTCTCTTATGTCTGCCATTATCATTAATGCATCTCTGGATTCACCGCTTACGACCACAACGTGTGGCTTTTTCGTGGCAATAAAATTCTTAATAGCTAATAAATCAGCTTCCTTCATCATCTTCTCATGTTCTCTGAAACTATTCTTGCGTTTCAATAAATGCGGCAATCTCAAGTAGTCGGTGCATTCTCCATCTGGAGCGATTATGCAGGTGAATGCAGCTTGAGATTGATCAGGTACATACGCTAGACCCATTACACGAATTCCTTTGCTCGTGTCCCAATCGTCATCGCTCTCTTCAGGGAATTCGCAGGAGTACGGAGCAATTTTTATCCAGTTGTACATTTTTCGGCAACAAGTTTTCATAATGCAATCTTTCGCCTCCGTTAAGAGATTGGACCGTAGTTCCTTTTTCAATTGCGGTATTATAATTCGGTTTAAAGCTATCTCGACACTGCCAGTTCGCAGAGAATTCCAGTCCTGCACACTCTTACTGAATTCGTCCCTGTAGTACAGCTGTTTTATTTCGTCGATATAGTTACTGCTAGTATTGCCACCTATCTCGTCGCTGAACGACACTGTAACTAGCTTATCATCTTGTCCCATCATTAGTTTTAGGAACTGATCTTCAACAAGGTCCCGCACAGGCTTATCTTTGACATACTTCATCGTATAAAGTGGATGATTTTCGTCGATCACCTTTATTCCCTTTTTGGTAGGCGTCACAGATAGTTTTGCTCTCTCCATGTACATCTCCCTAACACATTTACGGACTAATGGTTCATGCGCTAATTGAATTGCAACCATTAATTGCACAGCCTTGAGTACTTCATCGCTTGTTTTGAAAACAGCTGAGCTGAATTCGTTAGCCACTACAGCAGGCTCCGCAGGTTCCTGCTCCACTTCGTGACGCTGATAATTATCTCTAAGATTCTCAGCAAAGTGCTCGGGAGAGAGACCAAATTTTTTAGCAAGTCCATCTAAACCAGCCTTCCTACAGATTGCATACGGACCTCTTCGGACGGGCTGCTTCAATGTATCCTCACTATCTCCTTCCATATCTTCTATTTCCGGTAGTTCCTCCGGAAGATCTTCTCCGTTTTCTTCTGCTCGAGCAATTTGCAGCCGTCTCTTCTCAATTATGAATCTTCTACGTTCTTCCATTCGCTTTTTACGCAAGTCCTCCTGCATAGCTGGAACATCCTGGCTATAGTAAAGCATGAAGTGACGGTAAATGTCGTTTAATTCTTCAAAAGTTTGGATATTCTTTAGGCGATCGATATCATCGTCTTTAATTATTCGTATATTGTCAGGCAATGGAGCATCAGGATTCTTCATGATCTCATCCAATTGGTAGTTTCTCATTTTTTCAAACAGTATCAATAAATTTGCTTTTCTTTGTTTTAACTGACACCACTTCGCATCAAATTTATATATTTTCCATAAATCATTGATATTCAGTTCTGGTTGGACATATTCTTTTCTATAAAATGAAATGAAAGGGACCTCAAAATTCTGGTTACGTATAAAGTCAAGGACTTTCTTTATCTTGCCAATCGTCTGTGGACCCTTCTTTGCTCTCTCTTTCGCCTCTTCATTTAAATGACCATCCTGCACCGAAATTGTCGCCTGACAAAACGCTTGTTTGTAGATCCAATCTGCTTCGAGCTCTAATTCATCTGAACCTTCGGCCGTTGGTGTAATTGGAATAGAACGTAACTGCATACGTTCAGGAATGTCTGTAGTTCGAATCTGAAATATTACGTTTATGTTGAAACTGTATTAGTAATATATTTAATTGTTTCATTACCTCATTATCCACATCGGTAAAATGGCCGCGTATAAGTTCGCTGGGTTCATAAATTTCAAAAATGCTTTTCTTCGTACTCTTCTTCTTTATATGCTTTCTCGACCGTCTCGGTCGATCATCTGTTTCATCTTGAAGATACTCGTCCTCTTCCTCTTCTTCTTCTTCTTCAAATCCATCTTCTCCATATTTTTCAAACTCATCATAATCGAAATCGATACCAAAAATATCTTGAGCTTCTTGTAGTGCACTGTATTGATAAAATGAATGAGTAATTAGTAGAGAACAGTTTTATATACATTATTTTTGTTGTTGTAAATATTTCTTACGCGTCAGAGAAGATGGGCTTCCTCTTCTTTTTCTTCTCAGTTATAGGTACTCCATCGCCATCCACAATAAAATCATCTTCATCTTCACTCTCTTCTTCATCGATTGCATCTGCATCGACTCCTCTGTGGCTATGACTAATTTCACTTCTCCCTTCATCATCATCCTAGGAATAAAAATACACACACACATATAGAAACAATAAACTCCCACTGTAAAAGGCTTATTAAAAACTTACTTCTCCAGAGCCTTGAAACAATTCATTAGCAATTGCATCTCTTTCATCATCTCCCTCTCCCTCTTGCTCACCATCTGATTCTTCATCTTGTATTCTACGAAGACGTTTAAATCTCCGTTTCTATAATAATAATTTATAATTTAATAGAATAACATTACCATACTTTACACTGTTTATTTTATTATTCTCTACATACCCTTTCAACTTTAACTCCTAAATTTTCTTCTAATAGGTCATAGTCTTCATCTTCTAAACGATCATCGAAATCTTCATCATCACTTTTCTTACGTTTTCTGGAATCATCTGATGCATCACTATCTTCCCCATCATTTTCTTCAATTGGATTATCATCAATAAGCCCATCAACTTCTCCATCTTTAAGCATAAGAAATACACAAATTTCAATGACAAAATTTCGGTAGAATGATAGCATAATTTTGGGTAGAAAAAAAGGTAAATTTCGAAAATATAACTAAAAATATTCAAAAAGTCAATTGATAATAATGAGTGAATTTTCTTCATACCTTCGTCCTCATCCTCCTCATCCTCGCTATCGTGCATAGCCTTCAATCTTTTTAGCTTCTTTCGTTCATTTACATTAAGCTCTTCCTCCTCCTACAACATCACAAAATGTTAGGTTATCTGCAAGCGTCTAATTTGATTATTCTTATATTAAACTTTTCGATGCTCACCTCACTTTCCTCAGCTTCAGCGTCCAAGAAATCTGCCATATTCTCTAATAAATATGCAACACTTCTCAAAGCAATATACAAAAAGAATAGCAATGAAGTAAACAAGCAAATTCAAACGATAACTATTTTATAAGAGGAAGCGGTCGTGACTACACAATGCACACTGCACAGCTGTTTAGTTATGTGCATGCATAAAGCCCGCGTTGCAACTGCCACAAACGTACACGTCAAACACCACAGTACATACTGCCTCCTCGACACGAGCGATTTCTACTTCCCCTTTCCAAGTGCAGTCATCCCCACCATTTTAATGCGCATCCAGCTCCGCGCAGTTAGTTGAGAAAGAGAACAGGAGATGATTGAGAGGGACAGAACGAAATCAAGCAGGCTCTACGTTGAGTATCCGCACTTAAGACCCAACAATACCCCCCACGCTCCATCTGAAACACGCGGCGCGATATTCGACTTGTACTTTTCACCCCATAGGATTCTGGACCACACATTCCAGCGTATATTTTATATTACGTATNCACAGGAGCGTTAGCAAATATTCTTAGCGTAGGATACTATATTGCGTTAGATTTTTCTTCAAATTTTCTTGCGTAAATTATGTTCAAATTATTAAGTATTTGTTCATTTTAAAGCATCATACACATAGAAATTCACACGTAATGAATGTATCACTGTAGTGTAGTACAAATTTGTACAACTTCTGTTGCTACGTTCAAGTCATTCCTTATAAGTTGCAATCTTGCAATGCATTTGTAGTGGATCCTACTCCTACAAGGCTTCCGGCCGCAGCTTGATTGATTAGCGAGGGTCGGAATAGAAATTGTTTCGTTCCGATTGGCTCACGATTTGCAGGATTCATTGCGGATAAAATGCTCAGCAAAATGGTGGAGACACGCGCGCTGGCTTAGGGAGATAGAAAACGAGCAATTGAGCTGTAATGAGCGATGTCGGAGGCAAAGCGCTCAGAAATATGAGGGGAGACACAGATACTACTTTTTTCTAATTGGTTGACGCTTCACAAGTAAGCAGTGCTGCCCCCACAGATTTAGTCAGCAAGACAGCACGACATCGGCGCAACTCAAGCGAAAAAAATCACACCGACGACCAATGTAGCTTGCCTCACTTTACCTTGCTTGCGTTCCCACTCTATTCGCGCGTCCATACGCTCGACGCTCCATCTGAAATACTTGGCGCGATATTCGACTTGTACTTTTCACCCCATAGGATTCTGGACCACACATTCCAGCGTATATTTTATATTACGTATTAATATATTAAATAATATTAATATTATTAATAGTATTAAATAATACCTTCTAGTTTATGAATCTACAAAATTTTGTTAATTCAACCATTCCAGTACTTGTCAACTGGGATGGCTAGCAATCAAAATTCCCCTCTACGAGAAGGAGTTTCGGAAGCAACGATTAATTTCGTAATTTTATACGATTTTTACTTTTAAAAATTTGTAAAACAAAGCTGTACCTTGCAGTTATATTCTCTTAGAAAGACCACATATTTAATTTAGTAATTACTTACAAAAAAACTCTCGAACTCAGAGTTTTAGAGAATTACTGAAGATTGAAATTTATCGCTGAAAAATATTAAAAGACAATATGAAACAATTCCAAAACGTGTAGTAGAAATTTTGATCCGTAATCTACAACGAAACTAGGAATGTAAGGAAATGACTGTGTTGCTTACGGATCTGGGTTACATGGAAAATTGTAATTTATTCGGACATCGACATTCTCACTTCTGGAATAAATATTCTAGAATAAATATTAATTTCCCCGCTTGCATGAATTTGAGACCCTGAAATGGGGCGTTATTATTAACTAGAGAAGCCTGTGGAATACAGGGGGTTGGAAATCGTCTGTCGCTGAGCCGGCTCCAAGATCGAAAAGGTCTACATTCTTCCCGGGAACCATTACTTCAAAGTATACAAATTGAAAATATGCGCATGTTTATTCCATGAAGAAAATTATTTCGATAACTGTTTAGCAATGATTAAAAAGTTCTTTGTTCAGCACTAAAACTCTATCCAGGATCCGATTCTGTAGACATTTCTGAAGAAGAAACGACCTGACAGAAGTGTAGGAACGATTAACATTTTGAATAGGCCGAAAAACTATTAGGCGCTATAAAATTCGGATCAGCAGAGCCCAAGCTATGCGTAATTAAGTCCGATGGGAGGATGCTTTGGAGTAATGTTTTGGGGGAAGAATGTAGGTACCTAAACCAGCAATAAACAGTTTAACGGTACTTGCAAAAACTCTTTGTCTTATACGACTAATGGGCCTGGCCTAATGACGGTCGGTTTACAACCCCCTGTATTCCACAGGCTCTTCTAGTTAAAAATAACGCCCCGATTCAAGGTCTCCAAATCATGCAAGTTAATCCTTATCCATTCCAGAATTGAGAATGCCGATGTCCGAATAAATTACAATTTTAATATATATAATATTACATATTATAATATTATAATATTTATATTTATATTATATTATATTATATTATATTATATTATATTATATTATATTATATTATATTATATTATATTGTATTGTATTGTATTGTATTGTATTGTATTGTATTGTATTATATTATATATTATATTATTATATTATTATAATATTACATAACTAGTTTCGTTGTAGATTGCAGATCAAAATTTCTACTAGACGTTTTGAAATTGTTTCATATAGTTTTTTAAATATTTTTCATCGATAAATTCCAATCTTCAATAATTCTCTAAAACTCTGGGTTCGAGAGTTTTTTTTCGTAAGTAATTACTAAATGTGGTCTTTCTAAGAGAATACGAATGCAAGGTTCAGCTTTGTTTTACAAATTTTTAAAAATAAAAATCGTATAAAATTACGAAATTATTCGTTTCTTCCGAAACTCCTTCTCGTAGAGGAGAATTTTGATTGCTAGCCGCCCAATTGACAAGTCCTGTGATGGTTGAATTAATAAAATTTTGTAAATTCATAAACTAGAAGGTATTATTTAAAATGTGGCTTGCGGTTTTTCGAAAATTTTAATAATTGTAGAAATGATCGCTGTTTCAAGACGTTCGCAAATAAATACGCTGGAATGCGTGGTCCAGAATCCTATGGGGTGAAAAGTACAAGTCGAATATCGCGCCAAGTATTTCAGATGGAGCGTCGAGCGTATGGACGCGCGAATAGAGTGGGAACGCAAGCAAGGTAAAGTGAGGCAAGCTACATTGGTCGTCGGTGTGATTTTTTTCGCTTGAGTTGCGCCGATGTCGTGCTGTCTTGCTGACTAAATCTGTGGGGGCAGCACTGCTTACTTGTGAAGCGTCAACCAATTAGAAAAAAGTAGTATCTGTGTCTCCCCTCATATTTCTGAGCGCTTTGCCTCCGACATCGCTCATTACAGCTCAATTGCTCGTTTTCTATCTCCCTAAGCCAGCGCGCGTGTCTCCACCATTTTGCTGAGCATTTTATCCGCAATGAATCCTGCAAATCGTGAGCCAATCGGAACGAAACAATTTCTATTCCGACCCTCGCTAATCAATCAAGCTGCGGCCGGAAGCCTTGTAGGAGTAGGATCCACTACAAATGCATTGCAAGATTGCAACTTATAAGGAATGACTTGAACGTAGCAACAGAAGTTGTACAAATTTGTACTACACTACAGTGATACATTCATTACGTGTGAATTTCTATGTGTATGATGCTTTAAAATGAACAAATACTTAATAATTTGAACATAATTTACGCAAGAAAATTTGAAGAAAAATCTAACGCAATATAGTATCCTACGCTAAGAATATTTGCTAACGCTCCTGTGAAGTTTCCAAGCTGTATAAATAATAACATTAATATTTGTTAAAATGAATAATGTGATCAGAAGACAAATTTTGTCTGGATGTAAATATAATTTACATATTCTAGAAGATTGAATAATTAATGGTGGTTATTGTATGCTTTATTTTTGCATTTTGTTACAGTATTCGCCGCACGTTTTCAACAAATCGGTCGCAAATTATCAGCAAATGTTGAAGCTGAACCAGATACTACTGGTGGTAAAGATGTACTATATTCTGACATTCCATTTACAATGTCTAATAATATTATCCTTAATGTTAAAGTTTAATTTTTTAGGTGCCCCAGAAGTTGAACAGATTTTGTTAGATCCATTGTCGCATCCAGACTTTTTTAAAGTCCATGGTTTATTTACAATCGAAGATTTATTTATGGCTAGAGTACATTTTGGTCATAAAGTAGGATCTTTGGATGATCATATGCGACCATTTATATTTGGATCCAGATTAGGTCATCTAATATTTGATTTAGACCAGACAGTCGAGCATTTACAACAAGCTTTAAATTTTGCAGCACATGTAGCATTTAGAAATGGACTTATTTTATTTATCGCAAAGGCTCCTCACATTGCAAACATGGTAGAAAACACTGCTAAAGAGTGTGGAGAATATGCTCATACCAGGCATTGGAGACAGGGAATATTTACCAATGCCAAACATGAGTTTGGAATGGTTACTAGATTGCCAGATCTATGCATATTCCTCAATACTATGGAATCGGTTGTTGACCAGCATAGCGCGGTAACTCATGCAGCTAAAATGGCTATTCCGACAATTGGTATTGTGGACACAAATTGTAATCCAAACTTGATAACATATCCAGTTCCTGGAAACGATGACACACCATGTGCTATAGAGTTGTATTGTAACTTATTTAAAAGTGCTATAATGAGGGGGAAAGTTGGTAGAAAAGTAATTGAAAAGGTAACGCAGAAATAATTTGTCGTATAATATTATAGACCTAATAGAGTTTTTATGTTGAAAGAGATTAAACGTTATTTCTATTAAATTGGGTTTCTGTCTTTATTTAAAAATATGTAACAAAAATGGACGAAGCATTTCATAAACATTTCACAAGTCTCACAATTATTCTTCCTGTTGGATCGTTGGTTTATCGTCCCGTAGACGTTGGAAAAATCTTGTTCCCAGTGATTTTAATATCCTACAAAAATAAGAAATAATTAAATAATAAATAACGTTGTTACATTGAAAACCGAAGAGAGAATTTAATACCAAGTCCCTATGTTTGGAAAATAAATTTTCAGGTATATTATTTGAAGTATAACTGGTACACAAATCCAAACTTCAGAAAGTTGATTTGCTATTGCAACTCCCATTAATGTTGCACAGCGTTCTGCAGTAAGTTTGTACTGTGAACCCATTTTTATTGTTTCATTATATTTCTGTAAATGAAGTGACATTAACAAATTGACAAACATTTTATTATAATACAATATTAAACATACCTCTCCAGGCTTTTCCGTAAACGCTACCTCTAAGAAATTTGTTTGAATTGGTCCTGGACATACTATTGTAACTGGTATATTGCTACCTACTTTTTCTACGTCGAAAGTATTGAAGTATCCCTATATATGACAAGAAAGAAATATACATACAGGGTGTTCAGAAAATCGTGGTACAACCGGCAGGGGGGTGATTCTACATGCAAAAATAAGTTGAGGAGGAATAATATTTATTTATTTAAGGTTCGGTTTTCGACGAAACTGAGTTGAAAGATGCGTCAAATTCGTGTGGCTTGTAATATGACGAGAAGTAGAATTGCTACATCATGACCAGACGCGCTAGTTGATTCCTATTCAATAGTATTACTTTTTCAACCTAATTTTTCTCAAAAACGGAGCCTTAAATAAAAAAATGTTATTCCTCTTTCTCGACTTATTTTTGCATGTAGAATCACCCCCTTGCCGGTTGTACCACGATTTTCCGAACATCCTGTGCTAAAATATGTGTAATTAATATTTTGTGATAATACTTTAATGTTACTAACGTGTAAAGCATATTTAGTGGCACAATATGTGGCAGAATATGGTGCCGATGTGATACCTGCAATACTCGAATTAACCACAAAATGACCTGTGCCTAGTTGCAGGAAATATTTTGCCACCAAGCGGCTTAAAGCAACTTGGGAAAAAACATTTACAGAGAACATGTCCTTATCGACAACTGGACTGATATGCTCCCATCGTGCCCGTTGAGAACAACCTGCATTAATTACAAGTATATCCAACTAGAATCAAAATTTAGAACGTAGTTAAAATTCAACTGCGAATTATTAGTAAAATTTCAATCTAACACGTACTTACTTTTCCAAATTGATGAAGAACTTGTTGAAATGTTGATTCATGACTATCTATATCACAAACATCCAAGACAAGTACTTGAATATCTGCATCCGTTAATTTGGAGTTTCCTGAAAAAGAATATGCATTAAATTTTAAAAAATATGGAATGGGGTAATGAATAAATATCCTAGGGATGTGTACATACTTTGTAAGCAATTAGCTTTTACTTTTTCCAGTAGTTCTTTTCTTCGTGCAGAGAGTGCTAATTTACAACCGGCATCTGCTAATACATATGCAAGATTTTCTCCAATTCCACTGGATGCTCCTGTTATCCAGACTGTTTTGCCTTTTAATGAATCTAAGGAAATAAAAAAAAATGGGTAGAAAATATCATTGATAATACATTTGTAATACTCACGTATCGGTTTTCCAAATTTTTCATAGAAGGCAAGTTTCAAATCGCAATCCACAAACCAGGGATATATCATATAAATGAGATAATAGATAATGACTATTAAACCAACTATGGCTAAAAGATCCATTTCTTAAATAGAGCCAAATCTTATGCTTGGAAAATTGCAACGAAGAATAATTGACAAACATAGAATTGTTTGTTATCATAAGGAAGTGCTTGTATATAGAGGGTGGGCCTCGAGTCTCGATTCTAGAGAGACTGTCCACCCACATGCGCATTTATGTCGATGTAACGCCATTCCCGCCATTCTGAGCGAAGCCAAGCGAAATGCAGCGAATAAGCCACACTTGTATTTTTATTTCTCATAGTCTCTTATATCTTACAGTACAGTAATTTCTCTTGGATTCGCCGAACCTCTGTATTTTCTGGTTCTCACTATAATATTGCTACGGCACACTCCGCGGCTTCTTTGATTCGAATTCCCGGAAGACAGTTCATAATACAATTACATAACTTTTTCTAATTTTGACTGATTTTTTTTAACACATTGCTAACAGTTTTCTGATTAAAATGAGACCAAATATGATATAGTTTGGTCAAATATTTCTGATTAAAATAAAATCGAACACGATATAATTTCGATTACATTTATTTACTTAATACTTGATGTGTAATTCATTTGATTCCACGATTATATTCAGATGATTATATAAGTAAAATACATTGTTGTACATATTAATAAAAACTGCCTCGACATTGTGCATAATTAGATAAGTGCAAAATTATATTCTACAATAAATTATTTTGTTGCATATCATCCTTGGAATTGTTGCTTTATATAACACTATAAAATAGAAAATAAAAATTCTTTTCCCATATCAGTTTTTAACTTTGATTATGTTCCTTTCCGCGCTGTGTTATATTCTATTAAATACATTTTTTCGAAACTAGATTATGTACACGCTTCTTCTAGTTTGTATGATGGTGTACATAATCTGGTTTCGAAAAATATGTACTTAATACATTCTGGCTCTAGAATCCAGAATTTGAATTACCGCTTCTAAACCGCCATATTAAATATTACTTTGTCCGAGTTGCAGCTAGCTCGAGTGACAGATGGGATGGGGAGTATCCAGTGTTGGCTGGAAAAATACGATCACGCGCGACGTAAATCTTCTGCAAGCAGATTGGATGCGCAGTAAAATGCTAATTAGTAAAATGCTAAGGATGTGCGCGTTATCTTAGGAAACAATAAAAGCGTACAGAAGTAGGTCCCATTACTGAACTCTATTGAACTACGTGTGTCAAATCGAAGATCAGTCATAAAAATGAAGATTCGTTTCCAAAATTAATTAACAAATAAAAATCTCTTCAATACATAAATAATGATGCACGTAAATCGGAGGCCGGAGGCAATGATAAATCGTGTGGAAGATGAAAATAGAGATTTAATTTATACATGCTGTTGCAACAAAATTATTATTCTTCACGTTCGTCCGATAATGTTATGTAAGATCGTTGTTTAAAACGGTTGACACACGTAGTCGAACGTTCTCATAAACAGATGATTTGTACCGATTTCTCCACATGCTACAATGTAAATTTCGGCATGAATCATTTGCTCCTTAAAATATAAGAATGCCGCCATTGCAGATAGCAACAAAATACTCGAACTTTCACCTAAAATGAATTGTTGGTAACTTTGTCAACCAGGTTGAGCATTTCGTCGGTAGTGGCAAAATTATTCAAATATCATAATTTGACAAAGGTGACGCCACTATGCTAATCCCACTAAACTCTAAATTTAGGGCCATTATACCTACGTGTAATGGTCTAGTCAGATTTTATATTGTAACTTGCAGCGGAAGCGGAAAGAATAGGCTTATAGGGTAGGTCATCAGGCATATATTTCGTCAGTATTTATATATATATATATATTTCATACAATAAAAATGATATTTGCGTACGTATAATATATTGCATTCCATTTTATTGTTTAGGTCCGTAGCGACTTTGGTCTTACCTGCTCGAAATACATATGTACCTGAAAATAATTTTAATTCTACATTTACATCTGTATCCGTATCTATATTTATATTTATATTTACGTCTATATCTACATATATCTATGTATATCTATATCTATACTTTGTAGATTGTAATCAAAAAATGATCGGTCACTTAAAAAAACGAAAACAACATCCAAGGGACTGGATTATAATGATATGCAAATACAATGGACAGATACATGCACATATACGTACACGGAAAAAAAGGAGATATTTACAAGGGAAGGACCCCAAATGTGACGTTCACTTTTTTATAAGATTTGGTACAGTGATGGTACCAAATCAGGTACAGATAGAGCTTATGAAGCTGAATCCAATAATATCCGGTTTTGAGGTCACACGGCTTATAGTTTTTGAGGTATTTAATGTTAAAGTTGTTAATAAAAGGCCAGAAAAGTAAGTCGTTGTGCTGCGTCGCGTTCAGCTATGTCAGACAAGTATGTACTCACAAGTGATGAGGGAATAGTACAGAAGGAGCATTAGGTATGAGAGCGAGTGAATCTTTCCATAGATTCTTCTCTCTCACTCCACCACCCCGTTCTGCTGTGCGGTGCCACGCGCCATAATCCAGCTCGTCTTTCTGATCTCTTATTAACAACTTTAACGTTAAATATCCCAAAAACTATATATAAGCCGTCTGACCCCAAAAAAACGGGTATTCTTGGATTCAGCTTTACAAGCTCTATCGTTACGCTTTGGTGCCTTCCCTTGTTAGCGATATTTACCAGCAGGAACGCAGTGGCGAGAATTAAGCTCTTCAATTTGATATCTGTGGCTTCCGGAAACGAGATGAGCAAAACATAATCACGAAGCGTATTGTCCCATTGGTGCATCAAAGACGCAATTTGATGAGTACCGTCGTTGGTAATTACCTGTAACAAGCCCAGATTTAGTTTCAAATTGTTTCAGCCCTTTCGATACGAGTACTAAACTGTATTGCGGTATCGGTCAGACATCTCGTCGATTTCGAAATACTTTGTCTTATGCGGTAAACGAAATGTTGCTCTTTACTTGGAAATGCGCTTCCTTGTACATGCAGCAGCCGCATATGTTCGGTCCGATGACGTTGCAAAGTTCGTTGCGGGCGTCGTCGTAAACCGTAAAACTTGGTCCAATTATAGTGAAGTTTTGTTCCACCGTCCCTATGAGATTTGCGTTTCCGACTGTAATCTTCTGCGAAAAGTAATTCACATTGAAATCGGCAAATCTGGAATTGAAAGTCCAGATTCGAGATCCGAACGGGCCCCGTTAACTTACGCGCAACTTGCTCAATGGACATGTCCACCTCGAGCTTATCTTCATCTTGAACGCCGGCTGGCCAAATTGGTCGACAACGTTCAGGTCAAAGTCCCCACAGCGCGGAATCAGTTCCGAACACAAGAGCGGAGTCGATAATCCGACTTCTGTGTCCACCAACATAGCCAGAAACAATGTTTCCCCTCGCGGGATTTTAACTCTGTATTGGAGGCGTCTTTCCGTTCTGCCCAACACTGTTCGTACAATAAATTCGGCCGTGAAGCATAAACAGTACGCGCAATCGATATCGAAAGGTTTGCAGCGGTAGAATTATTGCTACCTATTCCCTGTACACGAGATCCCGAGAAAATGTCGCGACAACTATATTCGATCGTTCGGTTCGATTGCATTTTTTAGATTTATTTCTTATTTATTTTATTTTATTATTTTATATTTTTATATTTTTATTATATATTTTATTATTTTATTTTATTTCTTTATTTCTTTCTTTTTTATTTATTAATTTCAGATATACTAACGTGTACTCAAGTCGACGACCTGCTGGATCACCAACTGTTCCACGTTGCCCAGAAAATTCGTTCCCGACAGTATGCTCAGCTGAGGTCTCGGGGTTGATATCCAATCCAGCGAGTTCTGGTAGGTCTCGCTCCTCGACTCTTGGACTTGGCCTGGTAAAAAGATTCCATCGAAAGTCTGTCTCTCGTTTGATCGTTCGATCGTTTTTCTACGTCGTTTATAAAAATTAAGCAAACCCCCTTGATTTACCATAGGGCTGCGACGTGATAACGTTTGGTCCCGAATGAATGGGATACGGATAGTCCAGCACGTTCTCCTGCATTTCTATCGTCTCGCCGGATATGATGTTCTCTGCGAAATCGAAAAGGACATCGTTATCCTTGCGAAGCAAGGATCATCGGGGAACGACAGCGAGCAACGCGCTTGTCGTATTATTACCGGATGTCGCGCGATTAAGGTCATCGACCTCCGCTTCACCCTCAACCGTGACAATTCGCATTGACGCCCGTGTCACTCGTTTGCACCATAACTTTCCTCGCCAGTCGATTTTACGCCGTGCTGGAGATCCTTGTGGAATTTATTAATTTTAATGGCCTCGTCAAGCGACGGAGGATTATACGGATCGATTAACCACCGAGTGTGAATATCAATAAGTTGCGGCGAGAGAGGACGGGACACAGGACAGGACACGACGGCGAGACGGATCGCGACAGGTTTTAGGAATTACGAGAGGTATCCTTCGCTGTGGAAAGCACAACACGTCGAAATCCGTCTTTCAGAAATGTCTGATTTTTCACGCGTTCGCGAATCGCCGTCGGCATCGTCGTAAGGCAGTTCAGATACTGTTCGACCATTCCTTCCGTATTCACTTTCTATCGTTATCGGTGATTACAATTGAACTCGCTTATCGCGATACGCTCGATAAAAGCTGATACTCTCTGTTTTCGAACCGGTCTCGTCCGGCAGTCGTTCGGAACAAAAGCCTTTGCTATTTAGTAACTTTACGGAAACCTCGGACGATCGAACGTTGCGCGCCGATCGTATCGATAATAACGTGACCTTCGGACATAATCCACCTTCGTCGGTGTTGTACATTGCATGCACAATACACCGGGCTAAGATCGAGCGGGCCCGATAAGCGATCGGGTGTAGCTCGAATAAAGTTAAAGTCGGTATAAGTTGAACGAGATAGGAGAACGAATGGAAAACCTATTCCTCGAGAAACCGCGAAAACGTGCGTAGCAAGAAATAATAATGTATCGATCACGGTGGCCGTCAATACCGAACTTTTCCTTCAATCGAACATTTCAGAATTCGCATTTAGAATCGTTCGGCGGGTTCTCTATTGTTCTCTTATGCCTTGCGTCTCTCTGCTCGCAACAAGTGGCTAAAACTTTGAACCGATTGCCGTTCATCCGAATACATATATATATATCCGAAATGATCGAGTTCTCCCAGTTCCATTCATTTAGCTCAAACGGATGAAATCGATAACCGCGGGAGATGACGAAACCCCTTTTTTATACGGTAAGGAATCCTCCCCGGATTCCGCGGATTCCTCTCGACAATTATCTCATGCTAATCCTTGGGCCGCTAGATTCCATTCAGATTCCGCTAATTTTTGTGTTTCAGAAACCCCGCGACGATGTAATCTACATTTTGCCCAGCTGCTCCAACGAAGCCTAGAAAAAACTTGTTGGCTACGAGGCGCTGTTGAATAAGGTACTCCTGCCTCGTCCTTTGAATCTCAAATACTACGATTTAATATGGAAATTCCAATAAGAGAGAGAGAGAGAGAGAGAGAGAGAGAGAGAGGGGATGGGGGCATCGCGTCTTTGACAATCGACTGATAGGCGTCCGAGGAAAGACCGTTTCAAGGATTCTACCCTCGATTCCAAGATAACAATTTTCATCGACAGGCGAAAGGAATGAAGAGGCGAGGAGAGGAAAGAGAACGTCGCCGCGTTCAATACGGATCTAAACTACTCGTTCCTGTCCGCGTGGATTAAATGTTTGGAGCGAAACTGCCCGCTGACGATCGCAATCGGTGGCCGGCGATCGGTTGACCAGCGATCAGCCGATTCCGCCGTTGAAAGTGAGTCGCGCGCCCATAATATTCCGGCCGACTTATTCACCGTAATTTTCTATGTTTTCTATATTTTTCTTATTTTCTGTGCTTCCCGACAGCAGGCGGAGGCAAGGCACACCTCACGCCTCACACGCCTTTACTTGTTGCTGCGGACCCGGCACGTTCCATGCGCGTTTCTATCGATCCCTTCGGCCGCTATATAAAAGCTCGCGGCATCGGTAGTCATGGAAGACCGAGAAGTCGTCCGTCACCCTGTACAGGTCCGTCGCTAGTCGAGGCTAGTTCACGTAGAACGCAAAAAGGCAAAACAAAAAGAACAACGAAACGAACGAACGAACCAGTGCTTTGTGATTTCTCACGCGAATGTGTAATTAGAGAGCCAAGTAAGTGGAACCCTTACCGAGCCATTCCTCGATCGATTCTCGTCCCGTACAAGCCATTTCTTCTTTTTATTTCATACGACCCTGATCGTCGACGTTGTACCACCGTTCGGCGATAGAGAGAGAGCGGAACAGGAAGGAGACCTTTGCTCGACGCTCCCGTGGAAAGTAATTACGCCGCGGCGCGCGTCCTACCGACGCGGAAAATCGTTGATTGTCGCGGAATTATCGGGTATCGTTCGGCGCGGACCCTGTGTCATTCAACCATCTGTTAGCGGCCAACAATTAGCCGAAGGATAATCGGACAGAAGGACGAGAGCGGATCGTTACCGGTTTGGATTAGGTGATCGTGGCAAATGAAAGGTGAACGATCCGGTTTCGACGATCGTTTTCATCCCTTCGATCCTGATATCGTACGCCACATCCGGAGCCACCGAGGTATCCGCTATCGATGATGATCGATCGCTGTTCGATTATCTGAATCTCTCGATATAAATATTTGGATTACCTATCGGATCGTGTTCGGACGTTAATCGGTTAATCGGTGGAGAAATTTTCTTGACCGTTGCACGTGTTCCTCTAAGGGGACCGGTGCTGTTGTCGGCAGCGAATTCTGCCGTGGAACGGAATTTCGTCGTCGCGCCGCGAAACATTCGTTCTACGCGCTATACGCAAAAGTAGATCTTNAGAGAGAGAGAGAGAGAGAGAGAGAGAGAGAGGGGATGGGGGCATCGCGTCTTTGACAATCGACTGATAGGCGTCCGAGGAAAGACCGTTTCAAGGATTCTACCCTCGATTCCAAGATAACAATTTTCATCGACAGGCGAAAGGAATGAAGAGGCGAGGAGAGGAAAGAGAACGTCGCCGCGTTCAATACGGATCTAAACTACTCGTTCCTGTCCGCGTGGATTAAATGTTTGGAGCGAAACTGCCCGCTGACGATCGCAATCGGTGGCCGGCGATCGGTTGACCAGCGATCAGCCGATTCCGCCGTTGAAAGTGAGTCGCGCGCCCATAATATTCCGGCCGACTTATTCACCGTAATTTTCTATGTTTTCTATATTTTTCTTATTTTCTGTGCTTCCCGACAGCAGGCGGAGGCAAGGCACACCTCACGCCTCACACGCCTTTACTTGTTGCTGCGGACCCGGCACGTTCCATGCGCGTTTCTATCGATCCCTTCGGCCGCTATATAAAAGCTCGCGGCATCGGTAGTCATGGAAGACCGAGAAGTCGTCCGTCACCCTGTACAGGTCCGTCGCTAGTCGAGGCTAGTTCACGTAGAACGCAAAAAGGCAAAACAAAAAGAACAACGAAACGAACGAACGAACCAGTGCTTTGTGATTTCTCACGCGAATGTGTAATTAGAGAGCCAAGTAAGTGGAACCCTTACCGAGCCATTCCTCGATCGATTCTCGTCCCGTACAAGCCATTTCTTCTTTTTATTTCATACGACCCTGATCGTCGACGTTGTACCACCGTTCGGCGATAGAGAGAGAGCGGAACAGGAAGGAGACCTTTGCTCGACGCTCCCGTGGAAAGTAATTACGCCGCGGCGCGCGTCCTACCGACGCGGAAAATCGTTGATTGTCGCGGAATTATCGGGTATCGTTCGGCGCGGACCCTGTGTCATTCAACCATCTGTTAGCGGCCAACAATTAGCCGAAGGATAATCGGACAGAAGGACGAGAGCGGATCGTTACCGGTTTGGATTAGGTGATCGTGGCAAATGAAAGGTGAACGATCCGGTTTCGACGATCGTTTTCATCCCTTCGATCCTGATATCGTACGCCACATCCGGAGCCACCGAGGTATCCGCTATCGATGATGATCGATCGCTGTTCGATTATCTGAATCTCTCGATATAAATATTTGGATTACCTATCGGATCGTGTTCGGACGTTAATCGGTTAATCGGTGGAGAAATTTTCTTGACCGTTGCACGTGTTCCTCTAAGGGGACCGGTGCTGTTGTCGGCAGCGAATTCTGCCGTGGAACGGAATTTCGTCGTCGCGCCGCGAAACATTCGTTCTACGCGCTATACGCAAAAGTAGATCTTCGATTTATCGATTCGGAAACGCACGCGAGCGTAAGAATTGCGAATAGGTAGACGCGAATGGAAGCGTTAAGTACTTCGTTCTAAACTAAAAAAAAAAAACTAATCAAGGCCGAAACGTGATTTGAGCGAAATTGAATAAACAGCGGCTGATACGGCGTTAATATAATATTATATTAACATAATATATAATATTAATAATATAATATGTTAATATAATATTGTAATAATAGAGAATTCGCATTGCGTTAGTTTTTCTGTCCGATCTCATTGTCACGTATTGATTTACAGCAGGGGCGATAAACTTCTCCGTCGCGGGCCGCACGCCTTCTCCTTTCAGCCATATATGTGTGTAGTTGGCTCCCCTACTACCGAAAATGCGAGCGACGACCGATGAGTGAAACACGAGTGCGAGTGCGACGAGACGCGACGCGTGGGCCACGAGTGGCCCGCGGGCCGCCAATTCGTCATTCCAGATTTACAGCATGTTAATATGGTTTCCTCATTGGACCCGGTCCACATTGTTGGCGATCCAGGGTCGTGCGAGATCGAGAGTTTCGCACGAATTTAATCGGCCGTTTAATTCGTCAGGTAGAATGCCGTGTCAACGATGGCTCCTGATATTTTTGATCGCCGGAACGACGACGCTGATAGCGGGCCTGCCCGATCGGGCAATGGAGGAGTCGATGTCGTTAACAGGTGCTCTGAACGCCATCACCAGGAAGCAGAGAGCACTAAACACTGCTCCTCAAGATTTCTACAACGATTTGCGGAACATGAAGTACCGTGGTGCTGACGCCGATCGTAATCGTAAGATCGGCAAGGAGCATCAGGCCGAGAGAGAAATCGACGGGGTAGACGAACAGATTGAATTTCTACCAAACGGTAGAATATATAATAATTAGTATTATTAGTTCTCGTTGGTAGACCGCGGGCTTTTATGCGAGATAAATATTGTATTCATCGTGACAACTAGAGATAGGCGCCAGGCATACATTTAATTCTTTCTTGTAATATTATATATATATTATATTACAAGAATAATATATTATATATATATTATATAATATTATATATCTCTTGTAATATTTTCAATAAGTTGACGACAGAATATCGACGCTCGTCAATTATTTTGATTCGATCGATTCAAATTGCTCCCACTTATTCTTCTCGTAAATGCATAAAATCCACAGTCCAGTAATTAGCGACGTAGCAACGATAGACAACCGTTTAATGTTTTGAACACGTTGCGCGTTTCTTGCAGATGTTAGCCAGCTCGAGACAGTGGGAAACGATCTTCGGACAACGGATCTGAACGACAAAACCCGCAAGAAAGTGTTGGTGGATTACTTGAACGGTGTTCTGCAACAGGTATTGGTCCGTCCGATTCATAATATTACATAATATCAACAATTACAATAAACAATTACATAATATAATATCATACAATAATATATAATAATATATAATATCATAATATAATCATATAATGTCAAAAAAAAATAAAATATAATAATAATATAATATCATAATATAATCATATAATGTAATTATCAACGTTATAATATCTAAAATCCCGTTCCCGTTCCAGGAAGAACCGGTCACCTCTCTGTTTCGAGAACGCGAAAGAGGCGTCAGTCGTAAACGGACCGGCGGCTCCGATCGCATCAACATCGACAATAAACAGCTGGCGAAATTGTTGCTCGAGGAGGAAGACGAATCTCCGTACAACGTCGAGGAAGAAGACGAGAATAGGGACGGGAACGGAAATAGAAACCGAGACGGGGACGAGCCGGGTCGCATGAACACGAATGTCCTACAGGCTCTCTACGACCGATATAGGACCAATCTCGAAAACTATAAAGATTACGAGTCAGTCCGAATGTTGCTTCCGTTGCTTCCTTTCCCGTACCATACAGAATGCTAGATGTAGAACTGGTTGCCTGCTATCTCGGCAACTTGATCTCGATTAGATTTTCTAAAATTTTCTCAATCATCCTATCGTACTTGAACGTTACTAAAAAAAAAAAAAAAAATGGTACTGTTGATAGGAGCGCTGGTTCAATGCCTTGGGGTGATTTGCTGAACAAGGAGTCCCTGATGCAAGATCAGAACGCGGAAGGCGACGACATCGAGTATACCGATCGAGACGTGGATCCGAAACTTTTGTATTTTTTGTTGACCGAACGTAAAACCATGAACGGAGGGTATCCTATTGGAAGCGACTATAGAACGTATCGGAACATGGCCAAACGATATCCTGTCTCCAAGAGGAGTCCACAGCCTCCGAAGAAGCAGGCCACGGATCCTAAGGTTGTTCAATTAGACTTTCCATCTCGAATGCGATAAGTTAAATAAATATTGTACATTCGTGAACGTAAATGGTATCATTTTTCAACATGTTTCTACGCGCGATGCATTGAAGGTCGTTCAAGATTTGGGAGCGTTGTTCGGCACGCAGTCCTCTACAAATCACAATCACACGTACGATCACGACCACGGTCATGATCACGAGCACGACCATGATCACGACCACGATCACGATCACGAGCACAAGCAGCAAAAGCACGAGAGCTCCACGGAGGCGCCGAAAGTAAACCTTCAGATGAAAGATCAGAAGGACAACGCGACGAAGAACGACAAGTCGAAACCCATCGAGGTCAGAAAGAAGAGCATCGACTGGTCACAGTATTTCGGTATCGATCGTAGGAGAAAGAAGTCTCTCTTTATGCCCGGCCAAGGGACGCAGAACCAAGACGACGAGTGGATGCTGCAACGATATTACGAGGTACATAATTCGAAAGTCGGTCGACGAGTCCACAATGCGAGCTCGGTCGACGCGGTAAGGGCAGAATGTTAATGTTATACGTTATACAGAATATGGGCGACAATCTAAGAGGAAACGAGCTGGAGTCGAAGAAGGAGAATTTCAGTAGGAAAGATCAATTGAAGGTGCACGTTCAACGAATACCGTGATTTTCTTTCGATTATTATTGTAATAACCCGTTGTCGCTTAATCTTTAACGATACTAACGTCGTTGACAGAAGACATTGGCGTGTATACTGGCGAAATACTCCCTGGAGAAAATGGACCGAAAAGCCAATCAGACCTCGAATTTTCGGGAGAACAGGAATTTCGCCAAATTCACTGATAAATATAAGAGAAACGACGATGACGACAATATGATCGTCGAAGATGACGATAATGCCAATGCTGAAGATGACGATGATCTGATGGTCGAAAGTAAAAACGGCAATGGCAACGGCAACGGCGAAGGTACGATCTCGATGGAATGGCTCTACCTATCACGAAAATGCAGACTCGTAAAATGAATTCATATCTGTTTTGTATTGTGTTTTGCAAAGGTGTAGTCGAGGGCGATGCAACCTGTCTGGCTACACGAGATGTTCAAGAGATCCAAGAAAGATGCGTGTTCACGTTAGCCTCGCTGGTGGGAAGCGACTTGCAGAGGCTCTTTCTCGAGCCGTGCGTTATGCTGGAGTTGTGCAAGGCCTGCGTAAGCATCTTGAATCGTTAACGGGAAAATGATGCTGATCTACCAGCCAACCGAAAAATTAGCGTAGTCAATGCCGGATATTTCGCATGAAAACTGGTCGCATAACGTCACCCTTGAATTTCAGGTGAAGGATGAACTGAAGAAGAACTGTCTGATGTATTACTTGCTAGATACCAAAAGGCTCTGCAACTCGAGACCGGGGAAAAGACCGAACATGCTTTGCCCCGCGATAGCCATGTTCTTTGCGTACTATCCTTAGTCAACGTTCTTCCCATTCTTCTTTTTGTTTCGTTCCGTTTTAATGCTCGGAACGCTGAGTTGCGATACCGATAAGAAACGATTCGCGATTACATATTAGGGGACGTTGTTTCATGAAATACACGCGGACTAAAAAAGAGAACCAAAGAGATCAATCCATTTGCGAGGTGTATGTATTGGCTGAATGTTTCGAATCGTACGTTTGCAATTTCATTATTCTCCTTCTCTTCCTGTTTTTCGATTAAACGGGACGGTAAATAATATGCGACAATAACAATTGACTGCTTGCGAATGATCTTACTGCAATATTTCACGACCGTACGTCGAGCTTTTCTTGAACTTTCATTTTTCTAATTGTACCATCGAACATCCTATATGAAAATAATTGAACAGGTAAATTAAGCCACAAGTTCGGATGGGCAATTTCACTGGCAAAGAGAAAAAAACAGGAAGCGGAACAGAAATTTCCATTGGAACGGTCAACGATCGATTTCGATGAACTTGCAACAATAATATTATACTCGCGGAACGAGAAATGTATTTTTACGATGATTATGACGTTTCGTTTATGATAACGTTGACGTCCAACACGTCACATAAGGTCGTACAAATACTTTCGAAAGATGCAGTGTTCAGCGTTTAACGCTATGCCACTATAGAATTTCTATATGATTTTCGGAATTATCAAAAATGACACAGATTGCCGCAACGCAATGTACTCAAAACGCATGTACTCGCATATCGAAGCGAATTCGGTGAAGTGGGAAAAGCAGAAGATACGAAACAATGTTAACTATAATACTGTATGTGTTATCATTTGAATTGGATAAGGAGAGCGTATATGTGTATATTATTGTCTGTTCTTAGGTTACAAAACTATGGATACAGTTTCTGCCGGAGCTGTATTCGAACATAATACAAATATATTTCAACATAAGTGTCCACATGTTGTTTATTTTATCGATCATTTTATGATATCATTTTCTTCACTTCGAAACGCAAAAGAAATTTGAAACCTGCCGTTCCAAAGCCACCATTTTCCAATGACAAAAACAGTCATTCGTTACCCATCATTCGAGAACGTACCCGTCTCTCTCGTAATCAATTGTTCCAATGATTCGACGATCTCGAGTGTTTCGGGAGAGTACAGTTTCAATATTTTTAACTGCAATTCAGCACACTCGACTGAAACAAGGAGAAAATAAGATGAAAGCTACACGAAAAATGCTTTTCACTGCTGTTACAATGGAAACGTTGCTTTGTACATTAACCTCTCAATTTCGAAACAGCCTCTAGTTTCTTTCTCAATTCCACATTTAACATCTTGATTTGTATAACAGCATCTTTGTCGCGATCGGTCATTTTTTCTACCTCGAGGGTACTATCGGTTATAAAAATCAAATTTCTCTTTTGTTTATCGAACTCCCGCTATTTAATTGAAAAGGTAATGGCGCCATCTGCAAGAAATCGTAAAAAGTGATTGGCCGTTACCAGTGGTCGATACGCGACGGATCAATAGTTGAAAGTTGGAAAACGAATGCTGGACCACTGTAAGATCACGTTTTTCTATGACACGTTAATGTAATATTCGGAAAAAATGTTAGGCTCGATAATTTTCGATATGCGAGATCAGTGAATACGATACATATAACAACCAATGCAACCACGCGACACTCGCAACCTTGTGTCTATTCTCAAGACGAGCTGTGATTGGTCGACTTTGGAAATAAACCTTACGTTTGCACGCCGAAACTTCGTCAATCTAAAATTATATAATCTATGATTATGGGAAAGTAGCGATGGCGTTTTATGACCTGTGTTCTTTTCTGAGTAAAAAGTGGCGTTCTTGTTGGATTTTCTATGGGAGATCGGTTCATTAACGCGAGTCCTGTGATCAACATCGAAAAGGGTATCAGAATTAAGATCGATTGGCGGGAAAAGGCGAGAAGGGAAAGACGAAAAGGTTGTGAGTACAAGAGATATATGAGCTCCCGCTCTCGTCGGCCGGCGAACGAATTGGTCCCCGGCGGCAAATCTAATACAAAGATAAACTGGCAAAAATAATTCGCTCGTGAAACCAGCGTGTACTGTATGTGATCAATTTTGGTAGGTTCAGTCTTCCTGGTACGTGATTTTCACGAAATTGTCACGATCACATGACGTTCCCGCCGTAACCTTCTATACTCGTTGTAAACACTGCATCTTTATATAGGGTGTCCTTGAATTTCGGTTCGAACTATCGATAAATTTTATCGTAAAGTGATTCAAGTTTTTGGTATCGACCGCTTCTTTTTATAAACAGTATTTCCATTTAGAAGAATCCTGGAGAGTATTGGAGTTAGAAAATTTTCATTTGAACATTTCTGTTTTTAGCATTTTATGAAGAAGTTCATAACAATGTCGGAATTAGAGAAGAAAGAGAACTGTATAATAGACTGCAATAATATTGAGTCAGATAACTTGGAACAACGCAATAGTATGGCGAACAGCAGTACCAACTTAAACGAGAGTCAAGACTTTCATCTGGTGGACTTTGACGATGATGCTATTTCCGATAAAGAGGAAAAGTCTCAAGATGAAACATGTTACGCTTCAACTGGTATTGGTTATAGTACAACTAATGCATCCGATGGTGCAAATGCAGAATATAAGCCAACTAGTACTGACAAAGACAAAGCTTTTGAAAAAGAGAATGCAGAAAATGTACATCTGCTTGAGATAACAAAGGAGGAGAAAGCAAAGAATGACAATAATGTCTTACGTGGAAAGGAAAATCTTCTCGACAAAGAAAAGATTGAGGAGGAAGGCGAAGAGGAGGAAGACATTATACAGTGTACACCACCTGAAGATTATTCGCCATCAAAAAAGCAGATTGAGAGCAGTACAGAAGGGATAACCAGTCTGAAACGTAAAGCAGAATCCTTCGATGAACCACCTAAAAAGATTTTAAGAACCTCTTCAAACGAGGATGTAACAATACATCAGGAGAAAGGAACGCAAGAGGAGAAAGAAAGTCAATTTATCAAGACCGACGACACTCAGCCAGACTTTTCGGACAATTGCGTCGATACTAGTTTGATAATCGCGGAAACTCAAGATATACCTGAGGATGAGGTCTTAGAAAGCACGATAGAGAAGCTCGTTAATGATAAAGAGCCAACCAAAGATGCTTCTAAGACTCATATAGAATCACAGGTAAAAGAAGTAGATAAAAATGAAAACTTTAATGATATATCGGTATCAGACGAAGTTTGTACAAATAAAGAAGTCGAGCAAATAGAAACAGTTGAACAAGCTGAGAAAGTTTATGATGAGAAGAACGAAATCAATATGCCGGATCTGAAGAAAGATGGTACATTGTTTTCCAAGGCAACTGTAATAGAAAATGTAACGTTAGATGAGAATGTTAGAGCCGTAACAGATTCGGATCCTGCCAAGGATTCAGGCAGTTGCACAGAAAATGCTAAAGTAATACAAGACGAAAATACAGATGAGAAAGAAAATCGTCTTGAATCCACAAGCCACGCTAGTTTAAATGAAAAATCTAATGAAGTTGAAAAAATATTGGATTCTAACAAAACAACTATCGAACCTTGTCCCAATGTAAATTCTAGTAACACAACTAAATCAAGAATGAGCGTAGAAGTAATATATGATAGAACCGCGGTTCAGGAGATCAAAACAAAGCACAAAGAGCTAGTAGAAATCGACGAGGACGGAGAGAAGATAGTATTAGATTCCTCGCAAGAAGATTCTGATTCGAAAACAGGCAGTAAGAATACTTTGGACGATACAAAGGCTGAAACGGTATACAAAAGTTGCTACGATTCTAAAAGCAGTAGCGAATTCAGTTATAAGTCTGCAGGGATAGGCAAAGAATCGTCACTCGAATCAGTCAAGTCTAGTAATAAACTCGTGAATGGAAGCAGTGAATCTAAAAGATGCGACACAGACAGTACAGCCAGTTTACAGTCGGACACTTTTAGCGACATGCCAGCCGTACTTGACAAAGTGGACAACAATATTTCCACGCCTGTGCAGAATGTAAGTAGACAAAATAAACCAATCGCGTCTTTGAAAGATTCGGACAACGCCGACCTCCTATTGAGCGTAAGCGATAATGAAACCGATGTCTATCTAATCGATGACAAAAACAAATCAAACCTAACTCACAGTAGTTCTATAACGAAGGCTTTGCAAGTAGAAAAAGAAATAAGCATATACGTTCGAATGAAATGTTTGTTGCAAGTCGACGAAGGCACAAAGGAGTTTCTGACCAAAGAGATCACTGGTGTACAATGCGAAGCTATCACCGAGCCTACCTTGATACGACAAAAAAATAATGATACCTCTGCTTCTTTGGCAGACATTTCTGGTAATGATAATAAGGATGTATCCCCGGGATCTATAAATAGTAATCCACAGATGTATCCATTGAATCCTTCTAGACTTTCGTTCGCATCGACCATTAGTTCTTTGAGCTCTGTGTCGAGTGCTGCCTCGTTAGCGGCTAAGCTGGCAATACGGGACAGTACGCATTTCTCTTTACCAAGAGCACCCGTGAAACATGTGAAGAAACATATTCCTGATATGCACTCGATTAATGACAAACAAGCCGTGGACGAGGCGTACGAACGTCTCAGCAAAGAGTGGCAAAATAGCCGTCTCCTTACAACGAGCGTTTTAAATTTCGTAAACGCTGAATTCGCCAGTATCGATACAACGTATAACGTGAGTAGTGAAAGGATAGACGATCAGTTACAAAAGATCCGCTCCTCTACCCCGGAGGTAAAACAGAATGTAAGCGAAGTGCAAACCCCGAAAAGCTCGAAAAAGGGCAAAACGGTTAAGAGGCCACGAAGCAAGAGCACGAAGATGGATAATCAGTCGAATGGATTCAACAAGGTTTCATCGAAAACTTTCAGCAATCCCGCGGAGAAAGTCACAGAGAACAACGCGGAGAATAATGCAGAGAACACGCCGAGCAAGAAGAAATTGAAAACTGAGCATGCGGATCACACTGCCTCGAGCACCGTAGACGCTTCGTCGAAACCATCGTTGCCGACGGTAGTAGACGATCTGATCGGAAAGGACGTGTTTGCTAAATGGTCCGACAATAACTATTATCCTGGTACAGTTATCGATAAAGTGAAAACGAAGTATAAAGTAAATTTCTATGATGGAAAGAATAAAGTACTTATAGAAGATTTTATCATAACGATACCAAAAGTTTTGAAAGAAGGTTTATCTGTCTATGCTACCACTAGCATCGACGATTACGGATCGTGTGGTATAATCGTAGATGTTCACACTGTAAATAACGAAGCATGTTATACAGTAGAAACGGATGAAGGAGAAAAACTGAAAGTTCAAGTTAAGGATATCTTTTTGTCTTCTGATCAAGCTCAAGTTTTGAAAGAAGAACAAAATTCGGAAACTAAAAGTCTTCCAATTACCCCCAAGCATTTAGGGCAGGTATCTTTGGACAATATGGTTGACGGTAAAAGGCGTTCCCGAAGAATCGGGACTCCCGTATTCTCAACGCCAAAGTCGAAAACAATGCAGGTTTCATCATCAGCGAAACATTTGATAGCAGAACCATCTGTATCCGGTGTGGCATCCACGAAGGATAAGAAACTTGTCTCCGAGAGCGACGGAGTTTCCAGCGACTCGAACGTTTCAATCAAAGATGAGACAACTTATATGGGAGTACAGCCGGAGATCATTGGAACTCCCCACGAACAGATCGTGAAAGGACCACAAAGTCGTATCAAAAGCAAGCCACGGAGCAAAAAGAAGATTGATGATGAACAAACAATTATTACTTTTGGTCCAATACCGAGTAAAGATTCAAATCTGTTCAAAGGCATGTCTTTTATTTTGACCTGCGCACCGTTAGAAACTCTCGACCGATATCAATCCGATATCAAAGATTATAGTTCAGATCCAGGAACAGAAAACGAAGAAGAATGGTCAAAGAAGCCCTTTGTCAGAGACAGATTGATTACACAGATATCAGCCGGTGGTGGGAAAATTTATACAGACTTCAACGATATTCCAGAAGATGAATATTTAAGTACAAAACTAATAACAAACGTGCCAAATACAACTGCAAAGACTCTATTATGTCTTTCTGTTGGTATACCCGCCTATAATCACAATTGGATCATAAGGTGTTGTCAAGAGGCAAGTATTACATCATCGCTCTCACAATGTTCAATTACTCGATTACTGTCCAAAATAGTAACATTATATACGATAAACATGACACATTTGATTAATACACCATATAATATAATAATATATATAAATATATATCTTATCTCATAGGGGAAGATTGTAAATCCAGCTGAGGATGAACTACCTGCAGGATGGAGTTTGGACAAGAAATCTTACGTCGAAATGTTTCAAAGACCCAGCAACAAACCACTGACAAAAGTCATCGTAATAATTCCAAACATAGAGTCTGAAAAATTGTTTGTCACATTTTGGCGGAAAATTTGTGAGAATGCGGGTGCTGTTGTTTTATTGGCAGATAAACCAGGTATGGCAGTCAGTTCTCTTATGTTCTATAAATCTCACGATATTCACCGCTATATCAGATTATATTAATATAAATACTAGTTACCGAATAACAAAAATATCAATAACCCAAATATCATTTCAGATACAATGGAAGGCTTCGCGGAAGGAACTGTAGTTCTCACAAACAGATCATGTCCGTCGTGGGCGGTAGGAAAAGCCAGCGAATTACAAATTCCCTTGCTTTCCACAACATGGGTTGTTCAAAGTTTAATAGAAGGGAAATTCTGTCGATATGACACGCAACATCGTTATAAATACAATTACATACAGAACTAGGTACATTTAGTTATCAGATACATACTTTTTAGTTCAAGGACAGATGAGAACAGCCTGTCTTTGCATATTATTATATACATATTATCAAATCTTTACTTTCACTGTATTACTCTGAATTACTTGTTTAAGCACTTATGGATTACAAAGTAACACTGGTACTTTACTTTAAGTATTGTTTTGATACTTGCCCACAATATTGGAAATCCATTTTTTTCGCGAGTGCCCATTAAGAATTAAGTTTTTTACAGTCGAGTATGTTTTAACGAACGAAATCTATGTAAAGTTAATATTTATGAGTAAAATATCGAAGCATATTTTATATGGTAATATTGTGTACGATATATGGATATCCGAATATGCAAAGGTTTCTCTTACTATGACTCGATAAGCAGAAATTAAGAACGTGCATTACATACGATGTCGCTTATCATACATATAATAGAGTTATAGACGTTAGAATTTTGTAACATTTTGTATAAATCGAAATCGAATTTGAAATCGGAGATCATTTTTATAAGAAACTAATTGTAATTTTAGAGAAGAGAAGGTCTCATGGTTCTTCATCGTTTACTTATGTCAATTAATTGTTATTGTCTTTTCTATTTTACGTTCCTACGAATATGCATTTATCAGTAAGATCAGTAAGATGTGAAATACTATTTCACAGAATCTATAAATTTCTCCTTAGCAACTTTCCTTGCGCGAAAAAACTTGAACGTTAACAGAATCTAAATAATTACGATCATTTACATTAATAATGTAAATAACACGGTACATTGTTCTCTTTTACTTTTCGGCTTTTTTTCGTTTCATGTTTTATGTGGCATATTCGTAGCGTTCAGATAATATATTTACTTGTATGGCAATTGATACATTTTAAGGGCAAATATCCGACGAGATAAGCTAAGCCTATAACTGTAATAGAATCATCGTCTGTGTCTAAAAAATTGTGTGAAAGATACAACTGTTCTCTCTTCTGAATGTAATGTAACTGACGGATACTAGGAGAAATCTTTTCGATTCATATGGTAATTGAAACTTATGAGCGTTTAGTCGACAATTTTGCTATTCTTTAATCAAACGACTACATACGAGAATACATAGACCTCTATACAACCTGTATATCAAATTTGATATCGAATGGCACACGTCCTGTAAATATTTTTTTACTTGGAATTGTACGAGCAGGTTATTAAATCTACTCGCATTACATTTTGTGTGTGCTGAATATATATCCCATTTATAAAAATTCCTCTAATTATTCATCACACACNAACATTATATACGATAAACATGACACATTTGATTAATACACCATATAATATAATAATATATATAAATATATATCTTATCTCATAGGGGAAGATTGTAAATCCAGCTGAGGATGAACTACCTGCAGGATGGAGTTTGGACAAGAAATCTTACGTCGAAATGTTTCAAAGACCCAGCAACAAACCACTGACAAAAGTCATCGTAATAATTCCAAACATAGAGTCTGAAAAATTGTTTGTCACATTTTGGCGGAAAATTTGTGAGAATGCGGGTGCTGTTGTTTTATTGGCAGATAAACCAGGTATGGCAGTCAGTTCTCTTATGTTCTATAAATCTCACGATATTCACCGCTATATCAGATTATATTAATATAAATACTAGTTACCGAATAACAAAAATATCAATAACCCAAATATCATTTCAGATACAATGGAAGGCTTCGCGGAAGGAACTGTAGTTCTCACAAACAGATCATGTCCGTCGTGGGCGGTAGGAAAAGCCAGCGAATTACAAATTCCCTTGCTTTCCACAACATGGGTTGTTCAAAGTTTAATAGAAGGGAAATTCTGTCGATATGACACGCAACATCGTTATAAATACAATTACATACAGAACTAGGTACATTTAGTTATCAGATACATACTTTTTAGTTCAAGGACAGATGAGAACAGCCTGTCTTTGCATATTATTATATACATATTATCAAATCTTTACTTTCACTGTATTACTCTGAATTACTTGTTTAAGCACTTATGGATTACAAAGTAACACTGGTACTTTACTTTAAGTATTGTTTTGATACTTGCCCACAATATTGGAAATCCATTTTTTTCGCGAGTGCCCATTAAGAATTAAGTTTTTTACAGTCGAGTATGTTTTAACGAACGAAATCTATGTAAAGTTAATATTTATGAGTAAAATATCGAAGCATATTTTATATGGTAATATTGTGTACGATATATGGATATCCGAATATGCAAAGGTTTCTCTTACTATGACTCGATAAGCAGAAATTAAGAACGTGCATTACATACGATGTCGCTTATCATACATATAATAGAGTTATAGACGTTAGAATTTTGTAACATTTTGTATAAATCGAAATCGAATTTGAAATCGGAGATCATTTTTATAAGAAACTAATTGTAATTTTAGAGAAGAGAAGGTCTCATGGTTCTTCATCGTTTACTTATGTCAATTAATTGTTATTGTCTTTTCTATTTTACGTTCCTACGAATATGCATTTATCAGTAAGATCAGTAAGATGTGAAATACTATTTCACAGAATCTATAAATTTCTCCTTAGCAACTTTCCTTGCGCGAAAAAACTTGAACGTTAACAGAATCTAAATAATTACGATCATTTACATTAATAATGTAAATAACACGGTACATTGTTCTCTTTTACTTTTCGGCTTTTTTTCGTTTCATGTTTTATGTGGCATATTCGTAGCGTTCAGATAATATATTTACTTGTATGGCAATTGATACATTTTAAGGGCAAATATCCGACGAGATAAGCTAAGCCTATAACTGTAATAGAATCATCGTCTGTGTCTAAAAAATTGTGTGAAAGATACAACTGTTCTCTCTTCTGAATGTAATGTAACTGACGGATACTAGGAGAAATCTTTTCGATTCATATGGTAATTGAAACTTATGAGCGTTTAGTCGACAATTTTGCTATTCTTTAATCAAACGACTACATACGAGAATACATAGACCTCTATACAACCTGTATATCAAATTTGATATCGAATGGCACACGTCCTGTAAATATTTTTTTACTTGGAATTGTACGAGCAGGTTATTAAATCTACTCGCATTACATTTTGTGTGTGCTGAATATATATCCCATTTATAAAAATTCCTCTAATTATTCATCACANACACATGCATATATACACGTATATATATACATATATATTTATATATATATATATATATATATACATACACACACGTATATATATACACATATATTTATATATATATACAGCGGGTATATGTTCAGTGAAAATGAAAAACACAATATCAAGCAAAATGCCTATATAAATACTTCGAATTAAAATAAGATTAATATTTTTTTTCAAATTATACAAGATACCAGAGAATGTATCTTAAAAACATTTAGAATATTTCCCCATGATTTGTTTACAATGCGATTTACTGTTAAACCAAATATCAATGAAACGACAAAAATGTTTGCGTCAGGTGCAAATGTGTGTATATAAGTAAATATATACATATACTAAAACTTTATTATATAAGCTGTAGGAAGTATGTAAAATGTTTTGGGGATAAAATACAGTGACATATTTTGGCAAAACCTTGATTTCCTGTCGTTTCGAAGTTGGAATGGATTATATGTATCAACATTGGAAATAATGTACAACATTCTTTGAGTGTATGTACATATCATTTAATAAAATTACCGAAACATTTATTTATTTTATGGGTTGTACCAATCGAGAAATAATAGGGAAAATGACATAACTAGAAGGAAGAAAAGAATCCATACTCGAAGTCCTGCATTTCGTTGAATAGCCTGTCTGATTTGTTCATTAGCTTCTCTAACATTTTCTGTGGATCCAACAACCGTGGTCATTAGCCGATCCAAGTCTTTATCTTGATCCAATACTTTTTCTGTAAATATTTCTTGAAGTTCAGCAATATGTACCACTTTACTTTCTATTTGCTTTACCTCTTCAGTAATCGTATTGAGTTCATTGTACAATTGTTCATTTTCTGCTTCAAATACTTGAATATCTTCAGGCGATAATTCTTCTTCATATATTAAAGAATTAACATCTCCATTTATTTCTTGAATCTTCAGAGGATTAGAGTCACTTAAACTGAGTCTACCTTCTCTCTCTTCTAACTTTTCATTTGCATTCAAACTTAATCTTTTTGTTTCAAGTTGTAACTGCTTTGTAGGCTTTGTCTCTAATTCTAATTTTGCAATTTTCCTTATTTCCATTGTTCTTTTAACGCGTATAGCTTTTTGTTCTGAATAAATCTTACATACATTCTTCAGATAATCCTCAATTAAAAGCAACATTATTTCTCTATGCTCCAAATTCTGATGAGAAACTACAGAGTCTGCCACTTCTCTTTTCAATTCTTTGATTAACTGCGAACAGGTGGTCATTATTTTTTGTGCTCCAATATCTATTTCATCTCTATCTGCATCGGACACACTTGGTAAATAAGATAAATAGTTTGAGAAATTCAGATAAGCCTTACGGTTCTCTAATAGAAATTGACGTAATTTTGAAATTTGTACAACAACTGTTTGAGCTTTTACGAAAAAAATACTTCTGGTCTTCGTTTTCTTTATGTTCGAAGTATTAGTTACAATTCCTAGATCCTTATTACGAAGACTTACCGTCTTCACGCTGGCTTTAAATAGTAAACTCACATCCATTATTGCTTAAACTTTTGTATGTAACATTTAAGCAAACAATGGCACCCTATTACATGTCTATGTACATCAAAAGTATTGTATAGTTTGTTAACAATAAGATCCACTTCTGCATACAGATATTTTGAATCACAAGAAAATGTTTATCTCGTAGTACAGGATATGTACAAGTACTTTTTCATGTGATCCTTAACATATGTTTAACCTGAAATCGAATAGATCCAAATATACATCGTCATCGGAGCCCAACAGCATCGCTGTGATCAATTACAATATTAATCATGTTTCTGGTGATTTCTCTCTTTGTCAAAGGCTGAATTGGAAGCTCGAGAAACGTAGGTTACAGTAGGTTAACAAAGCTGATTTAACAATAGGACAAATGATAGTATCAAATGGTAAATTATAGCAAATTATAGCAATTACAGATAGAAATAATCATTGTTATTAATATCTCAAAACAATTTTAATTTCGTATTTTGTATGTTTATCGTATCCACACATTGTGATGAGAGATGAGAATATCAGATACATCGTGATAGTACGTACATATGTATATAAAAATTGGCCTACCTCCTTATTACATATACATTTTCGTAGTTCCACAGTTCCATTAATCTACATTATGTTTATGTACATACATCAGACACGAGCTCTCCCTCTTTCTCTCTCTCTCTCTCTCTCACTCTCTCTAGTGACTAAGGATGTCACGGGAGATTCTTCGGTAACAAATATTCAATAATCTTTATTTTTTCAGTAATAAATACACTTTTGTGCATTATTCGTATGAAAAAGATACTCTAAACTTTCGTACGTACTCAGTACACAGTTGCATTTCAATTATCTGGTATGCTTAAAACCAAACATTATGGGATACATAATTACACATCTACGTACGTAGATATATGTATATATTTTTTCTTCATTATTAGTCAACTAAAATATGGTAATGTTAGGGTTAAAAATATATTTTGAAGGTACGGAAATGTTCAGGGGACTCTCCTGTATCTATATCATGCAAAAAAGGTTATTTAACATTACAAATTCCAAGAACAGATGATATTTATCGATGTAGAATTTGATACGAATTATCTGCTCCGAAAATATAAAAATAGTGCCATTGCACATATGTAGTGGTAAAACGATCAAATTTGTAGCCAATTTTAATACCAACTGGTGGTGTCATGCATGGCAAAAGTTGGAACTTGTAACCGGTGCCGATGAGCCACTGTCATATGTTGTGTATTTTGTATAAATTATTACTCGCCATAATTATAAGATTGCGACCATAAGTTTGATGTGTCACATGGCTGTAAACTGTAAACATTTTAGTATCAAGAACCTTAATTTTTATTCATCTTGTATCTGTGTTATTTAATTTTGTCTTTTTTGGAGTTTCTAGATTTTACCGCCAAGTGGCGTTATTAATAGTTTTTCTATTTCAAGCATAGAACAGTATGTACATATGTATTCTGTGTTTCAAGCCTAAGTTCCTGCAAAAATGGCTAGCGTAAAATTGCGCGAAGCTGCTTTGAATTCCCCGAAGTTACTTTATAAGTTTTTACTGCGAGAATGTGAAAGATTGCCAAAGGAAGCTCAGCAGTTTTATAAACATTCTGTGAAGCAGGTGAACTTTATACTTCCGAATTGGTCGAAGTAAAAGATATCTAAACAATGTGCATGTGTCTAATTTCAAGTACTACATGTATATGTAATTAACCTAAATTTCGTACTCGTTTTACCGGAACAGTCTGCACGTGATACGTGGATATTATTTATGATTTATACATTTATAGAGTTTTAAGCAGCACGTTATTGAACCAGATGAGGAACGCGTGCAGCAAATAATGAAGAAGGCAGTACAAGACATGGAATGGATTATCAAGAAGGTATTTTGTTTTTCATTTTAAACATCAGTCGGTGTAATGCATAGTAGATTTAATTTTTCTTATATTGTAATAATGTATTTTTCATTTAATTTTTAGTATTCCAAAACAACAGCTATAGAAAAATCTAAAGAGATATAAATTAGATAGTGTTTTTTCAGTTATAATTTTTTGATATTGTTTTGGAGCTCAATTATTGTCAAGAAGTGCTAGCAACATCATTATCATTATCAGTATGGAATTTACAACATTGACACAATTGGAAACTAATTTTACTGACTCTCAGTTTTGGAAGGCAATTAATATTTGGTGTGATAATCCCCAAGTTGCAAATCGTAGGCTATTAGCATGTGTTGAAATATTAAGCGTTGAGGTAGACTGCGATACATCTGACATTCTACAGGCTATCTCAGCTTTGGATCTTTCTCAAACAACTGTATTGCCCAATGAAGACTATGTAGATATAAAAAGGTTGTTGGAAGTTTTAGGTATCACAGATAAAATTTCCAATGCAACATCTGAGAGTAAAACTGTTTTGTATTTAAGAAAGCAATTACCTCGAATACCAAATATATTTTCTTCTGGTATAGAGTTTTCATTATTACAAAAGCAAGAAAATCGGGTGATAAATATTCACAAATCATTCTTCACGTATAAGAAATCTCTTGGCCCTATGTGCATGTACACGATTCAACAAAGAAAAGATGGTAACACTTGCATAAGCATAAATGGATTGAGAGATATGATATCCGATCCTAGTATAAGTTGGTTAGAAAAAAAGCTATTTCCATGTTTGCTAAAGTGGATGGGCAGCAAACCAAAAACCGCAACAGCGTATCGACTACCATCGTTAGGTTTTGTGTCTGCAGAAAAATATGCGAAATTGTATTGGGAGCTAAAAGAAAAGTACAGCGCAAAATTAATAAAGAATTGGCCGGAAAATACAGATCCAAAAAAATTTGTTTACGAAGATATAGCGATTGCTACGTATTTATTATTATTATGGGAGAAAGAAAGATTGGAAAAAGGAATTACAAACTTGCAATCCTTTTTGGATTTGGGCTGTGGAAATGGTTTGCTTGTACACATCTTATTCTGCGAGGGACATCGTGGTCTAGGAATTGATTTACGCAGAAGGAAAGTTTGGGATTTGTACCCATCTGAAACACCGCTGCAGGTAATATATTCATTTATATCAGAGAAAAAGTTCCACCTAGAAGCATAAAGGAGCGGTGGCAGAAATAAAACGTAATTTGTCGCAGGTTGATACCATCATTCCATCTTCTGAAACATTGTATCCAGAGTATGATTGGATAATAGGCAATCACTCGGATGAATTAACACCGTGGATCCCAGTGATTGCTGCGCGGAGCTCTATCGATTGCCGCATCTTCTTGTTGCCTTGTTGTCCATACGAACTCGACGGCACCAAATACCAGAGGTATTCTGCTGCAAAGAGTCAGTACTCTGAGTATATTGATTATGTAAAAAACGTATGCGAAGTATGCGGCTTTGAAACGTACATCGACAAATTAAGAATCCCTTCCACGAAACGAATCTGTTTAATTGGATGGGGAAGAAGACACAGCGACGAGGACGACGTAGAAACGATAGAACATCGTATTCAAGATATGATCGGTGCGAAAGTAATATTGATTCGACAAGAGAAAGACAATGTGGGAACGGGAGCGGACACGGACAAGGAGAGTTCACTTCGGGCAAACGGATGGATTTGTAATTTTAAACCGAGAGACGCGGTAGAAAAAGTACGAAACTGTACGCAACTGGAGAAAACGTTGATTGCAGACATCGTCGCTATGGTAGTGAATCAATTGCTTTCCGACGGTCGCGTGATATCGCTCGACGGGTCGACTAAAAAAATTTGGAATGCCGGTCGATGTCTCACATTGAGACAACTCGCCGAATCAATTCCACGCGAAAAGTTGATACGACTACGCAAAGAATGCGGGGGTCTTCAAACTTTACTAAAAAATCATGGCCATGTATTTCGAGTTACCCAAGGGAAAGTTGAGTTCCGAATACCCGGCGAACAAATGCAAAAAACATCGAAGAAAAGAGGAACATCACTGAGAAGAAAAATGAAGCCATGCTGGTTTCACGAACATCACCCGAACGGTTGTCCAACAACCGAGGCTAACTGTAATTATAAACATTAGCAGTTGGTTTTGCTAGTAAAAAGGAGTGGTTTCCTCAATTTCGAATGCAATACACCACACGATAGAAATCTATTTTTATTTTTATATAAATACCAGTGTGTATATTCTGTACATAGAAAATGTGCTTGATTTAATCGTTTTTTTTTTCTCTCATGGAAATATATTCAAACATCGATACCGTCGCCGTTTTACGTTTATCTCATGTGTAAAAGAAGAACGATGAGAGTATTATTGTCTCTATTGCTGATCTCCGGAAAACTTAAGTTACTTTCACTTTTTTTCGGTGAGATGTTTCAACGGATAAAAATAATAATAACAGCAGCAGCAACAATAACAATAATAGAAAAGAAAAAAAAGAAACGGTAAGTTCTTAAAATCTTACGACGACGGAACGTTATTTAAGAAATTCAATGAATGGTATATCGTCTAAATTCAGACTTTTAACCTCGCTCAGATTACTCTGAGGAAACTTGCGTTGTAGCAATTGCAACGATTGCTGATTATGTTTAACTTTCTTCGAGTCGATGGCATTTAGCCGATGTACGCGACTCATGTGCGTACGAAGATTTCCTTTCTGTGTGAAAGAATATTCACAGTGTGGACAAGGATACGGTCTATCGCCCGTATGGTGTTTCTGATGCATTTGTAAAGTGGATTTTTGAGCGAACGACTTTATGCATAAATCACACTTGTATGGACGTTCACCCGTGTGAATTCGTTTATGCCGTTCAACCTGATACGGTTTCGTGAATGTTTTTCCACAAACATCGCACTCTTTTTTTGATGAATTTCCTTTGGTGGATAATTTCTCTATTGTTGACAAACATTTCTCAATGGATGAAGCCTTTCCAAACTGTTCTATCCGCGATGGCGTTGCAATACTAGTTAAGAGACAATTATTCGGTTCTAATTGATACGGAGATGATAGCTGTGCTTTCAATGTGCTCTCCGCATGAATAGCTTCTTTAACAGCAATACCTTGCTGCTGATCACTGCTAGTGATCTCTGGTGAAATATTTATTATCGATGTACAGACAGGATCGGCGGTAACGGTCGAATGCTGATGCAACGTATTGTCAGCCGCTACCGGCTGCGGTAGTAACGACTCTTCGGTCTGTATGGTAACGAGACCGTTCGCCAAAAGAAAATGTAAATTGGCAACCAATTGGTTACCTTCGTTTAGGGATAGTATCGAATTATTGTTTGGGACAGACGTTTCCGACTCAAAGGTGATTTGATCGGTTAAACACGAAGCAGTTGTTTCGACGTTAATTGCTTGTAAATTTGAGTATTCTGTATTTGTTGTTTGCGACGCCTGCTCGTAATGATGATTATGCTGTTCTTGTTCTTCTCCGTAGCTGCACACCTTCTGTTGCCTTGCGTCGTCAGGTTTTCCAATATTAGCCGCCATAGCAACTTCTGCAATGGCAGCAACTTTTAAATGTTTCTGTTTCCTCTTAAAGGTACCTTTATGCTCTCGGGCGTGTTTCAACAAGTGTACTTTTCTGTGACCCGAGGTACGAAATCTCGAGTCGCAGACGGGACATTTAAAAGGTTTCGAACCTACGTACGAAATTAATTAGACAATGTAAGCATAGTTATGTATGGATTCTATAAATAATAAGTGATATTTTGCACGCTTACCGGTATGCAAACGCATATGAACTTTCAGGCTGCCCTTCGTTGCGAACAAACTACTGCACACATGGCAACGAAACGTCTTTTTGCCGATATGAACCTTGGTATGAGAATCCAAGGTGCATTTTACAGCAAAACTTTTATTGCAATAATCACACTTGTATGGGCGCTCCCCTGTGTGTGTACGGACGTGTCTGACGAGATCGCTTGGTTTACGAAACGTTTTTGGACAAAATTTACATTTATTCGTATACTCCTTTTGTTCCTTTTTTTCCATTGCTACATACTGAAACATATTTACATTTTTACATTTATTGCATGTTTATCCCGTTCGTCTCTGTAACAAAATCATAGCATCCATCGATTGTATTAACAACTTACTTCTACTCGATCCATTACCTCCCGTTCCGCAACTGTGTCCAGCAGAACTCTTTCAGACACAGTTGAATCCGAATCTATCACGACATCATTCAATGATGACTCGTTATCTACTGTTGCCCGTATTTGCGACAAAATTGAAACATCCTTCTCGTTCCACGAGAAGCTTTCGTGAACTCTGCTATGCGATCGCAATTGCGTTCTATTAGCAAAATATTTTTCGCATGATGAACACTTCCAATGCCTGCGAAGAGACAACGTTACCAACGATTTCGTTTTGTTCAATCTAACTCGAGTACTTACTGTTTATTTGTATGTATCTTAGAGTGCCTATTTAATCCACCATTCGTGTAAAATCTCGAAGAGCATTCCGTACACTGATACTCTTTTTTCCCGCGATGGATCTTCAAGTGTTCCTTCAATCAAAAATTATACATTAACCGAATCGTCTCGACGAATAAATTTGCGTTTATCGTACCTTCAACTTGGATGCTGTGAATCCCTGCTGACTACACATATGACACTGCAACAGAGACACTCTTCGAGGGGATTGATTCGCGTTGATTTCGTCGTTCTCAGAGATCTCGGAGGGTAATGAGTCTTTCTGAATCTTTGACGAAAGCTTGGACATTCTCCGAAATTCTTTTCTGCAAAATACATATTTTTTGCTAGTATACTAAGTATATTTTTTGCTAGTATATTAAGCCAACGGCGAGTTGCTTTGGGCTATTTACGTTAAGAACGTTGTATTCGTATTCTTCTCGGCCTCACACATTTCCAGTTGGTTGCTTGTATTTACTTTTTCTGGAAGATTTTCCTCGGAAATTAACAACACGGTCTGCATGTACCTACTTGCTTGGTGACTATCGGTCAAATTCTCAGACGAAACAGCAGAAATGGCAAGTTGATTCGACAGTTCTCCTTTTACAGTTTGTGGCAATATGCTTGCCATACTCGTCGAATTATTCGCATCGAGGCCAATATTATCTAGTGTAATTTCAGTTTCCGGCTGAAAGATAAATGTTTCTTCGTTCACTAATAATGTCCCTTGTAATTTCGTCTACTGGTATTATAAAAATTGTGTTATATCTTTATCTAACTTGTAAAGTAATATGATCCATCTCGAACGAATCTAGTTGCGACGCGAACACTTGCTCTCCAGACTGCTCGGTGTTGGCACCATTATTAGAATTGTTACTACTCGTGTAAATGACATTTAACGCGGGTTGCTGATGTTGTAGTTTCATATTCTGCAATTCACTATTATCGCACGAATGTTTTGAATGGTCGTTTCCCAAATTAAGGTTCATCCCAATGTTGAAAAGCTGTTGGTTCAATGTTTCTTCGATTTCTTGTATGCTCTCCTATAAATGGAACGCAAATAATAACGTTGATATTTCGTTATTGTTTCTGGTACAACGAAAACAACAGAGCGTGCAATTAGATAAAGAAAGAAGTGGGACAAAATGGAAAGCATACCGGTGTTAGAGCTTGATCAGTTGAATAAACTGGCAATGTAACCGATCCGCTTTCATCGATGTGCAACATCTGTGGATTTTCTAAATTTGTCACAGTTATTTCCGTCATATTTTCTGAAAAACATATTGAAATTTTGTATGAGGATGTTGAACACTTCTTCTAATATTCATACATCAGATCAAATCGATAATTTACTTTTTCAGTGCAGATGTATATACGAGTACAAGCTCCAAAGTAAAACGCATATGGTAATTTTTGCTTCGGTCATACCTTGGAATTGATGGGGAAAAGTTTGTGGAAAGTTTGATTCCATTCGTTCTTGAAAAGATACGTCAACCGAAGTGGGTGTAAGATTATCGGAAAACGTGGATGTTGTTGCGACAACAGTGTCGGCGTCAGTTCTCGCAGTTGTGACAAGCGGAGTATCGTTAGTGTTACCAGCAGAAAAATTAGACGAAGAACAGCAGGGAAATTCGGATGTTATCTCTTGCCTAGAATTCTCCGTTGTATTCAATTTGTTTGCAATCTCATCCTGGGACCCAAGTTTATGTTGTTCCAGTTGCTATCGTTCAAGAAGGACAAAAACGGTGATTTGGCGTTAATAATTGATTTCGTTACGATCACGATGAAACTTTCGCTTGTTACAGTAAACGCACCGTACCCGTTGAGCCAGCTCGTGTTTATGTATTTTCATATGTTTGCGGCAATTAACGTAAGTCTTGAACGTCTTGTGACAATATGGACACATGAATGGTCGTTTGTTACTATGAGTAACCAAATGTCTTTTCATGCTACTCTGCGTAGAGAATTTCGCGGTACAAATGGAGCATCCATAAGGTCTAGAGTCTTCGTGTGTGTGCAAATGCGATTTCAAAACACTGTTTGACGTGAATCGCCTGAAATAAGTAAGAATGTAAAGAATAATCCGTATACGTCGATACAACGTAGAAAAATAAAAAAATAGGAGATATCTCAGGGAAATAACGATATCCCTTCGATATTTCCAAGTAACTGTATCATCTGAGGTAGGTACTGCACCTGTCGCACTTGGAACACCTGTACGGACGTTCTCCAGTATGTCGTCGATGATGTTGTTTCAAGTGACTTATTTTTCTAAATGCCGCTTGGCACACCCAACATTTATGCGGTCTAGCTGGATCGACTGCTGCATCGTAAACACATCTTTTCGAAGGTATCTGCACCACGCATATCTTGTTTCCGGAGTCACTGATTACCAATGGCTCCTGCAACACCACTTGAGATACGAAATTCTCCGTTTTTGGAGACATTTTTGACTTATTGCTTGCATTTATTTTCGATCGATCATTAGAACGAGCGGCAACGTTGTGTGTTGCATCAATATCAGCACTATCTTTATCGTGATCGATACCAGCGCCGCTATCGTTATCAATCGATATACTAAAACAGTCGTCCGAGTTCCCATGGGATCTATGGCAAAACATCGATCTTAGACAACTTTTTTTTATAAAGTAAAATGTAACGAACTCACCTTGTATGAATAATCAAGCTACTGTGGCACGTGAACGTTTTATCGCAAGAATTGCAGGCGTATCTCTTGGTACCTGTATGTGTACGTTCGTGCGCTATCATGGTAGACTTCAAAGCGAACGAACGATAACAGTGCGTGCACTACAAACATAACAGTACATAAGTAACATTAAAGTATTTGTTATTCGGCTTCGTACCTTGAATGGTTTTTCCTGTGTATGCACTCGTAGATGGCGTATCAGATCTGATGGTTTTTTAAATTCTTTATGGCAAAAGGTACACGCGTACCATCTTACATTTCCTACACACCGTTGTTTTATTGTCAAGTATTTTCTGCAATACGAAAATATTAATACGGGCAAAAAATGAAAATTAAATGAAATAGATTCCGAGGTGATGCGAAACGAGAAGAAAACCAAACTGCGAACGGTAAATATACACGCACACTTAATATCCTTTCTAAATATTCTAGGTTGCATTACCTAGTACCACTGTCCGGTGCCCTGTCCAGTAAGGTAACAAAATTTGTGCGTGCATCCAACTTTTTCGTTTCCGTTGAACCGTCGTAAAAAGTTTTGTTTTTGCTAGGTAGTCCACTATTTTTCAGAGCTTGTTGTAGAATATCTTTCTTGGTAGGGTCGTTTGATAACAATCCATTCTCTCCAGAATTTTCCGGTTTTCCAACTTCGTCTGTATTAGATTCCAAAGATGCCAATTGCGTTATAACGTTGTTCACAGTTGCCCGAATGTCCGATTCCATGGTGTCTGTTGTTTGGGAGATTTTAACGGTGGCACTGTCCTGAAAGTTGTACGTATTCCTGTATCAAATCGTTTTACGAATGCGTTTTTTGTTATGCTCAAGTAAATTCGTGCTTTCATTATTACCGCGTTACCTCGTTCACTCCTGTATGCATACGTTTCATGTGTCCGTTTAAACTGCCAAGCTTTTTAAACACGCAAGAACAGTAGTTACACCTGTATATAGGCTCTTCCTCTGGTACGTTATGAACTCTCATTATATGAACATTTAAATTGCCTACAAGTAATCACGAAATAACATGCAGTTATCGAAAAAATACATTTCATTTGGACTTGGTTTTGATATCGATGACGCGTGTGTGTTACCTTTTTGACTAAACCTGGCATCACAGAGTTCACAAGCATGTGGTCGTATACCGTTGTGCTGCCACGTATGAATTTGCAAGGAACCTTTTTGCGTGAATGCACGCCCGCACACCGTACACTGAGAGATTCAATATAAATCAAGTCAAACAAAGATTTTAACCGAATCCAACCATTGCAAACCAGTGCGAACAGATCGTGCGGTTTCATAATGAAATGAATTTACCTTAAAAGGTTTTTCACCCGTATGCACTCGAATGTGACGCATTAATTGGCTCGGCTTTTGGAAGGACTTTAAGCATATTGTACATTTGTACACTGTTTTATGTTTTGCTCCTCTTTTCGTTTGCTTTACTACCTTTGTCTGCAACTACAAGATAATAATGTGCTAAAAGATATAGAATAATCGAAACATCATTTGCACCTTACTCTGTAATGTTCACGAATATGAAGTCGATACAGTGCCGGTTGTCTGAACTGTTTATTGCACAGTTTACATTTTCTGGCTTCTTCCGTTGTCCACTTTTCTCCATGAAGTTTCAAATGTGCATCTAATTGAGTCTGCAATAATAATAAATAGCTCGATGTTAAGAAGAATACTTTCAGAGTTATGCATTTGTCATGTAAGACTCACTTTAGTTGAAAAAACATCTTCACACTCTGTACAGAACAAATTTTCTTCCTTTTCATGTAACAACATGTGAGATTTCAAGCTGGCCATTCTTGTAAATTTTTTACCACATTCCGGGCATTTTGGATCACCAGAATTATGTGTAGCCATATGAAGCGTAAAGTTGGTCTGAAAGAATGGAATCCCAAGTTATCTTTGTAAATCTAATCTATGTTTATCAAAGAACATTTCCAAGACGAAAAAGTACTTTTCATTACCGGTACATTGAAAGATGCTGAACATTTTGGACAGCGGTGTGGCTTTTCTTCGGCATGATTCTCCATGTGCTTTCTATATGGTGCTTGCTTCGTAAATTCTTGTTGACATATGTCACATCTTAAACTTTCTTTCCCCTAATGTTAAACAACTGCGTTTGTTACTGTAATCTTTTTCTCTGATTCTATATAAATACAATCTAACTATGAAAGATATAGCTAAGACAAATAAAGAATCGTATGTAGCATAAATATTAAGTTACTTTCAATGAAATAGCACTGTTCTTTTTGGGTCGTCCAGGACTATTTGGTTTTGTAATCATGCCTGTTGATTTCCCTTTAGAAATTTCATCGATTTTCTCTTGCTGCAAGGATTCGTTATCAAGGAAATGATGCATCGTATCTAAATCTACTCTGGTTTTGATTCGTTGAGGAACATTGGGATCAACTTGGAGAATTTGCTTGGATCTTTCAAGTTCTGAACTCTCGCCATTGTCCAAATTGATTTGGAAAGGAGACTGAAAAATATCCCTATTTTAGAAAGTGTGATGTTTCTCTATGAAAGTATTGCATCAAGACAAAATATGGACATACCGGTTGTAATATCAAACAACTATTAAGATTCTTGACATCCATCAACGACATAGCTGTACCATTATGACCAATGAGCGTAACCGGGGTCGCGATAACTTCCAATAGACCATCTTTGTCTTCTGTAAAAATTGACATCCATAGATTCACTTGCAAATACTTGATCATTATCGACACAACTTTTTACCTGTCATTGCTAATAACGCTCGACCATCTTCGGTAGCAACAATATTTATTGGCACCGTTGCGGCCGGATTAGATTCTGCGATTATCGTGTGTCGCGTCAACATCTTCTCACCAAATGTCACCCAGAAATTACATAGATTGCCACGATAAGAACAATGATTAATCCTTATGCACTAGACATTTTTCAACTAACTGTTCTATTTTAGGTTGCCGAAGAAACTTTTGGCATGATTCAAATATTTTATACTGTATCGATACGTGCATAGTTTGGGTTTCCTTCGGTAAACTCAACAGTAAACTTAACCTAACTCCTATAGAGCACACAAGAGGTTAAACACTATAAAAGATTGTACATATTAAATTTCGTCGAAACGGCGAGGAAGCTCAAGATGGTGGTTGTTGACGGTTGATGCTGGCGGCAATTCCAGGGGGCGTCAACTCTATAGGGAAAATTGGGGGCACTTTTTTGACTGCCATCTGAGCTAGCTGCAAACTTGGACGAACTAAAATTCAATGTGGCTGTCCACCTAAATGCACATTTGGTGGACGCCATTCCAGCCATTCTGAGCGAAGCCAAATTGATTGCAAGCGAACTAGCGAATAGATATACTGGACATAAGCAATAAGCCACACATATTTTTATTTCCCATAGTCTCTTATATCTTTATAATAATATTTTAAGTACATGTATTTTTGATTTAGATTCTTTAAGATTGATCCATCCTATCATCAACAACGTAGCAACGAGGACGTCGCAACCAAGAACAGCGAGGACATAGGAGTCAGGGGCAGCAAAGACGTTGGAGTGAATAAATCAATTTAATAAATACGTGTACGTATATACTTCATTAAAAAAAAAAGTGGATTTTTTAAATAAAGTTTTGAAAAACTTTTTTTCTGAAAAAATTTTCTGGCTTTAGAATCCAGAATTTGAATTACCGCTTCTAAACCGCCAAGTTTGCACCTAGTTTAGATGGCGATCAAGACAGTTCTACAAAAATTTACTACGAGTCAAGCACTCCGGATCATGTCGACCCTCGCTAACAGATTAAGCTGTGGCGTGCAGGTGTGCAGGAGTCGAAACCCATTACTATAGTACATGATAAGGGTAGGTGCCATCTTAGATCATATATGTACATATGATCCATATGATCTATATGATTTAAGGGATTAGCCTTTCTAGCAAGGAGAAGACACAGTTACCGAAAAAATGAGATGAAATATAGGTTTACACAATGATGCTTAAAAGATGCTGATTTTGAGGTAGGTGTTATCCGTAAATCCATACCATTTTGGCATAAAAATTCGTATTGATAATATAAAGCAAAAAGAATTCAAAGTTTGCAGCTATTAGCTCGGAATCATCCTCAACACAAAACTCATTGCAATTCGCAACATTTTCTGAATCAAGGATGATACCGATTGCCCAGGTCTCACCACGAGGAGGTTGCTGCTTTAGAGACCCAAAAGGGAGTCAGAACGAAGCCGGAATTCGCTATGGCTCCCTTTCTAA